GCTAAAGCTTACTAGTCCACATGAAATAGAAAATGTTCAAATGTAGCTCATACTGAATATGTGTTGATATTTAATGTGCTTAACTTCATGACTCGAACACTTCCTAGAGTACTATTTATTTGAATGATACATTTCAAATAAGTATATCCTAGTTAAGTTTGTGATATTCCGCTTTGTTTCTTGATAAACTGCACCATATTCTTCGTTTTCATTTGAGTTTACTCACTATGACAGCAGAATGATTGATCCCCGGTTCGCTAACTTTAAGTAGTCTTAAATCAGAAAGGGCGGTGAAACTGATTATTAAATTTACTTGGTTGTGGCCGGCATAGGAGTCCAGGATGTTCGTTTCGTCCTACTTGGAATTCGCCAGCTGGGTGTATCTGGAGCCAAATGAGTGATGTTGTTCCCACTGAGACTGAGACCTCGCACTCATCTCTTATTAGAAAGCAATTTTGATGCTGCCTATAATAGCAAACATATTTAAAGCATTACTTCACATTACTTGGCCATACAATTATGTGTAGTTGTATCATCTTTAAGCAACAACTGACCGAATGTTTTGAAAATCGATTACCCTAAATATAAACACTCTTATAAGCAGTCTACCTAGTTCGCAGACAATGGCATTTGATGATTTGTTCAGAGTATCTACCTTCTCAACCAAAAATACCTGTGAAGCACTCTAGATTGCGTAATTCATACTAAGGTGACACACTAGCCAATCTGAATTAACTCTTTCATTTGAGGTTACACTGTGAATCACAACTCTGACCACGTACATGATATAAAGTATACGGTTTGTTATTATGAAAATTATTGAAAATACCCGTCTTTGAAATTGCAAACATTTTCACTGATCTTCATTTATTTATTCCCTTTCTTGTCATACACTTTTATCCACTTTACTGTCATTCTTTTTACGATGCTGTGAATTGTATCAACTTGAACTGATATGGCTTTGCATAAAGGTCCACACTGATGCGTTTACCTATTTCTCTATCCCTCATGGAGGACAGCAATATAATTCAACACTCATTTCACTCTATGCTAGACTTATTGGTTGGTACTACCTATCATAATGTTCTTACCAAAATATGATCCGAATATCAGACTGGAATAATGCAATAAGAATGGTTTTCTCAAAACGACATTATATCAACATATCTCATAGCTACATACGACTTGAAAAAGTAACTAACGTCAACCTAGAGGCATCATTTGTTTTTGTTGATTATAGGTTCATATGGTAGTATCTCTCACTGAAAAGAAGTAATAGCTATGTACACCACCTTGTTGAAGGTTATGTATTTGGCGCCCGTGAGATACCAGGTGAGCTTTGTACGTTGATTGGTGTCTGTCAAGGTTTTCCATTCCCTATACTGTTATTTAGTTTTGTCATAGGCGTAATTATGTAGGTCTACCTCTCTGCATCTGACTTTACAGGCATTCACCTTATGACAGGAAACTCCTCAGTAGAACTAGAGTGTGCAGATTTCATAATCCTGTTAGAGTTGGACGCTGCTTGAGATACAGTTCGTACCACCCAAATGCAAACTGTTGCCAAACGACTAGTTCTTGGTGGTACGTTGTCTAACAGTAGGGGGTGAATTGGTTGACTGTGCTCACCACCTCGGGAGTCAGATCGGCCCTGATGAGTCAGTGAATGTAATCTTGTCATGGATACAGTGGGCTGGTTTGAATTTTGCCAAATTGTATCATCTTTAGCGCCGGAGTGATATCTCATTCCCTATTAAGAGTCAACTGTACTGTATAACAGTCGGTTATTTCCTGTTATATAAATTTGAAACATGGCCACTGCAAGTAAAGGATATGAAGAAGCTTCAATCTACAACGGCATTGCAACGACTGCAACAACCATCTAGGTTTTTTTATTTCGACTAGAAAGGTAGCTTTAATATAGAATATGGAGATTGAATTGGTTACTTCAGTAGCCTTTAGTCTCTCTTTAGATTCATTTCACTCAACTGACTCATAAAGACTTGAAAAATAAGTGACAAATTTTGCCGTTAGACAGCTATCCCTTCTGAATAACAATCAGCAACGGCTGCAAAGAAAGCTTATGAATGTGGCTTTTATGATTCTATGACATAAATGTCGTGGTAAATCCTCTTCGACACATGAGGAATGAAGAACTTGAATGTATTTCTTAAGTTCGATGTTTTCTAGTTCCTGATAGTCTATTTCATAAGGCCGTTTATCCGAATGTAATAATAATGTAAATGTCGGTTTGGATTCAAATATTATTCTAGTCTGTTTGTACTTGAATTATTCACCATGTGGTAACCGATGTAGATTCAAAAACCAAAGTATTCAGAAATGATTGAAGTTTATCGATCAAGTTTTCCGTTGTAGATAATAAGCTAAGTTGTACCATACTGCGATGCATTGTGTGCCACTATTGGGATGTAAAGGATATATATATATATATATATATATATATATATATATATATATATATATATATATATATATATATATGCACATATACCTTGATGGTGAGTGACAGCCATCAAGAAAGGTAAGTTCAGGATTTTTTACGATTTTCTCCCAACGCTCCACTTAAGGTTGAGCAACAAAATTTTTTTTGGAATAAAAATTCAATGTCTTCCCTTTCTTCGTACACTTCCGTGCAAATTTATTAGATGACACAAAGAAACTTGAAAACTTAAGAAAAATAATTTCTAGTGTATATGAAACTGTTGCAGAGCTTCTTATTGATAGGTGAAAAGTACATATTATAAAAATACATTTTCGAACGGAGAAAAAAGGTAAACGAAAGGGCTACAAAGTTATCTGTTTATCATTTCATTTAAAATTTCACTATCAACAACACTGCTTGACATAAAAAAGAAAGAAAAAACTGGTAAACGATTTAGGGACAGTTAGTGAATTAAAAACTGTCGAATTTTTAATTTTAACTGAAATACAACGATTACTTTTATTTCACTCTATGTCAATTAAACTTTGCATGTCGATTCCAAAAGGTTTAAAACTGTGGATTTTAAGATATCTATTCATTTTCGATTCACAAACAGAAGGATATTTTTTAGCATGTAAACGATAAGAAACTTTTCCTAACATTTACTGTCAGTCGACAGCTACACTTACTTGATGTAAATAGGTCAAATTCAACGTTGCTTATATTTTCCACAGTACAATTAGATTCATAATGTGTGTTGGTGAATTTTTATTCGTTTTAACATTCTTAACATGATAGTTCCATTCTAAGGATTATTCATTTAGGAATGATGAAATATGTATTCATAACTCAGGTGGATAATCTATGCCGTGTCACACTGTTTGAGCTGAGTGGCTTAATAGTGAAGCTTTCATTGTGTTTCTAGGCCATATCATCACCAGTAACTCCAATGTGAAGTTAGTTATCAAGATTTCTCCGTGAACTATTTAGTAACCTGCCCCGACGAAGTGGTGTACGGTCGGTAGTTTCCTTTAATTGTCGTATCATTGACTGTACAGATTTCCCTATTGTCTATTTTTCTCTATGATACCTGATCTTTTAGTTGATTACCATTTTTTAATTAGTTGATAGTTTAGGTCTGAGTCTATACATCCATTGATAGCTGACTGATTTGAGTGACAAGCTTATAGGAATTCTTTTCGAATAAAAACCTTCGGAATTTGATTAATTGGCTACTCGATTCCTGGGTGGAAGATAAGGTGGTAGGACAACATAAAATTTATTTGAGATGAATCTTGAGGGTTGGCTGTTCATCCCAAAAAACATTAAACCAAAACAGCAACACGAACAAGATTTGTCTGTTCCTAGAAGGATTTTATTCAGAAAACGTATTGTTAACTGAGGTATATGCATAAGTACTTGACTATCCATGTATTTACAGGGTGCTCTTGCTAATTTGAGAGCATTCTAGAATGTTGATTTCACTGATTTTCACAAACTAGTACCACCAGTCAGACAATAATACCCATAATCATGTAACTTTTGTATGTCTATTGTTATTCATTCACTAAATATTGAAAGGATTATTGGAACATAAGACAAATATGCCTATTATAACACTGAATTCAAATTTTAGTGTACATATTACACATTCAACTTCGATTAAAAATTATGCAGTTTTTTGCCAAAGTTGTGGGACTGTAGCTTATTTTTTTTAGACAATAGACTTCCAACTAGTGAGTCACGGGTTCGAATATTGCCTTGCCTGCAGAGTTATATTTAGTCGGGTAGTATCATTAAACCTCACACAGGTGTAGCTCATTGCCTATCTGATAAACGTTCACAGAAATACTGGGTGCATTTCAATTTTCTTTCTCAGTGCCAAATGTCAGAAGTCGATGGGAAGGATGCTTATCCATCGAGGTTTCATGTTTATTGACAATCATGAAAAAAGATATTTAAAATCTTAGAGAAACTCGTGTTTGTTTGAAGATCTAAAGGGACTTTTTTTATCAATTTAGCTGACAGGTTTCGAGAACTGATTGTATTCCGTACAGAAAGCTTGCAATGTCACCAACAAGATCAGTGACACAACACTTTCGCACACTGTGTTTCGGTATTAGATGTCAAGAATCTGTCAGTAGAAAAGTCCTAGATCTAGATTTTATAATTCACAATCCTCATCATCGGACAGGAGACAAACAACAAAATGCACTGGATCACTAATAATAATTGTACTCTCACGTGATTAATTTAACGTAAGGAAGACTGATTCATATAAAGAAATATTTATTTATCTGTACAAAATACCAACAATAAAAAGAGTATCAGAATGTACAATTTTTCAATGGAAAAAGTAAACCAGCTAGGATTTCGTCACCTTTTCCGTCTGAGCAAGATCTTATAAAAGTAAGTCAACAGAAAGCAGTTTAATCGAATTCGAAGTCAACTTTCTTCAAAAAGGAGAAATAGGTTCACAGACAGATAAATGAAGACAAAACAAGAAAAAGAGGTGTTCACACAAATCGATAATTAAACTGACACTATTATCTAAGCGCTAATCCACTAAAATTTCAAAATCCATTGGATCTCCAGGACTACGCACATTGAACAATTCACAACGTACCATTAAAAGAACATGTCGTTTAGGTCTAGCGAATTGTACAGCAACAAGCGGTGAGCGATAGGCAACTTGTACAAGGTATGGGAAGTATAAATGGCTGAAGTAACCACTAAAGGATTTTAAACAAATAAAACAAACACATGAACAGAAAAAAAGACTAAGTTCGGAAGAAAATATGTGTTGCTGAAATTCCGACCACTTTAAAGACAAAAGTCATATTACGGCTTGCAAGCAGCAAAGTGATGGAGAATATATGGAGCTCAGGTGGGTGGTCATGGTTTTACTGTGTTCTCTGAGCTGGGTTGTTTAATCGTGAAGCCTTCATCGCCTTGCTAGACGACATCATCAGCACTAACTTCATTATGAAGTGAGCTGTCAATATCTCTCCGTGAGTGATTTAGTAGCTTGCTCTGACGATGTGGTCTATGATTGGTTGTGTCATTGATTGTATAGACTTTCCTGTTGGCTGTTCTTCTGCTTCACCTCTGACCTTTCTGTCGTTTATCATTTTTCTTATTGGTTGATAGATTGGATCTATGTCTATCCATCTACTGATTCCTGACTGACCTGAATGTCAAGCTTCTAGAAATTCTCTGATATTTTTTGTATACCCTCTGTCCAAAATTTTTACATTCTCGAAATTGAATTCATGTCCATAATTATTCACGTGCATTGAAGTGAGTGATGAAATGTCATGGCGTTTAATAGTCAATTGGTGTTCATGTAGACGAAGACGAAGAGGGCGGCCGCTTTGTCCAATGTAGTGCTGACTACAGTTATTGCAGTTGATTTTGTAAATGATATTTGGTTTGTCTTCTTTGTTTGTTGCATCCTTTGGCCTGCATAATAGTGTTTGGAGGGAATTTGTTGGTTTATGAGCCACACCAATTACAAGTGGTCTCAGTAATCTTGTCGTGATTTCTGATATATTCTTTATGTATGGTAGGATGATGCATTTATTGATTTCTGTCGATGACTTTGTAGTTGATGTTGTACGGGATAGGCACATTCTGGTAAAGTTTTGTGGGTAGCCGTCATTCTTCAGGGTGGACATCAAGTAATTTTCTTCATTTCTCTGTGAAGTTGTTGTGCTGCAGTGTGTTCTCGCTCTTCTGAATAGAGTCTGCATACAACTGATTTTGTGTGTTGTTGGGTTGTTGCTATTGTAGTTGAGGATTTGGTCAGTTTGTGTTGGCTTCCCGTACACTTGGGTTTCCAGCTTTCCGGCATTTGTCCTGCTGACCAAAACATCCAGGAATGGTAGTTGGTTGTTTGACTCCTTCCCCATTGTGAATTTGATGTCATTGAAAACGTTGTTGATCAAACTGTGGGTGTTTTCTATATCATCCTTTTTAATGATGACAAAAGTGTTGTCTACATAATGAATCCAAATTTTTGGTTTGATCACATAGACATAGATCCAATCTATCAACCAATAAGAAAAATGATAAACGACAGAAAGGTCAGAGGTGAAGCAGAAGAACAGCCAACAGGAAAGTCTATACAATCAATGACACAACCAATCATAGACCACATCGTCAGAGCAAGCTACTAAATCACTCACGGAGAGATATTGACAGCTCACTTCATAATGAAGTTAGTGCTGATGATGTCGTCTAGCAAGGCGATGAAGGCTTCACGATTAAACAACCCAGCTCAGAGAACACAATACAACCAAGAAGCAGCAAAGTGTCTAAAGTTCTTATGATCAACGTGTAAGGAAACTCAAGTAAATTATTCAAGGTTTCCAATTTCTTTTTATTCATTTTACCAAAGCTCATTGGCCGCCTTGTAAATGGGATGTGGAATCTTTGTCTGGTTGCATCACAAACGCTAACCGCCAGGATACTCTAAAGTTTACATGGTCACTGATAGTCACCAAGTAGGCAACAACGTAATGAGTGATCAGGCGGTATTCAGGTATTTACATAGGAGTTCGTCTGCCAACAGAAGTCGAGCAATTCGACTCAGTAGAGCAACAGGAGACTACAAGTATCAACAAACAATAGATAATACCTGTTTCACAAGAAATGATTTTCATGACTCGATAACCTAGTTGATTTCGCTTGGGTGTTTGAAACGACGATCGATGAGTTTGACTGTCAGCAGGAATACCACCATCAGCTCAGGAGCAAAACTATTCAGTTGAGAAGTTTTAAATAGGCCATAACACACATTCTGTATCCCAATGGTATTTACCAACATCAAACAACATATTTTGATGGGATTGAAAGTATTCAATACACCCCACTTCACAATAGGCTTAAAGATTATTACAGGTAAGCTAGTTAGATTTTTTCTACAAATTGATCATCATACTTCTTTCTACTCATTCTTAGAAGCCCCTATGCGAAGTTCACATATATATGTTCCCTGCAGGTAATGTTGGATAATAATAATAATAATAATAATAATAATAATAATGAAGATGCATTTCAACTTACTAAGTTATGCCATCAATTGTAATATTCGGAAAATACAGTACTTCACCGAAATTTTCTAAGTCTTGAGGATTCTGTAAAACATAATAAGCATACAGAGAAAGAAAAGCTATTTATCATTATGCGAGGAAACTATTTGAAAAACTTTAAAAATCAGAAAAATGTAACTTTTCGGTAATCTTTGGTAAAACAGTGTGATATACAAAAATATGTATATGACATTTTACCAAGAAAAGCTGGGGATGAGTTACTTTAATTAGCAGTACTTATCCGATGAATGAAAGTGTTTTAAGCACCAAACAGTTATTTCATTAGTTTAGGATCGAATCCATCAGCACAGTACCAAACTAATTCAGTTTAATAGAGCTAAATCACGCGAAAAAAACACAATTCGTGCTCAATATGCTTGACCACTTAGGCAGACTGGTAACGGATGCAGCATTCACGAATCCTCAGCTCTGTAAACTAAGTCTATCTACTAGATAAATCATTTATTAAGTGGGTTTCAAATGAGGTAAGTAGTCATCTAGTATGTAGATCATCTCCGTCTATTTAAAAAAGATGCTCCTCATCAACCTCAGTTTTTTTCAGTTATACACATTAAAGTAAGCCAAGGTACAGTTTCGCAATTGTATAACAGTAGTTTACGCCATTCCCACTTCTGACACAGTCTAACAAACACTTTATATGATGTTTTGATAAATCCATACGATCAAGCTGAGTTATAGCTTCTTCCAGTTTTTGCGCTTAAAAACTGATTAAAGTCGTCACAAATTTATCTTTAAAACTTAGGTTACTAGTGAGTAGATACTGCAAAAACATTCTGTTTTGCCAAAGGCTTCAGAGTTTCTCTACAGATAAAAAAATAAGCAGGACAGCTACAAATTAGGTTCCGTTACCCATACTTGAGGAGAATATATGCAAGCAATGACTCACTACATTCCTCACAGCAATTCAAAGTACCTTAATTGTTCAGCTCATTAGTTTGTTAGGAATGGATTTTTAAGTTGAAAGCATTAAACAACTTTTTCATCGTGTCTTGGAATACTTCAGCAGTGAGTATTATCAAATTCATGTGGGATTAAACCTCAGACCTTCAGATCTCCCAAGAAACATCCAGTCATTCAATTTTTCTCACTTTATGCAAGAAAATATCTTTCATTATTTAGGATTTAGTGAAGTAACTAACCTTGGCGCTCCTTTTTGTAAAGTAGTGACTAGTGCTCATTAATTTTTTATGAACATGAAAAACTTGGTTTAAAAATGCTGATAACTTACTTGACCTCGACAACGAACAAGAGGATTGTTTGACAAGCTTTTATTCACGATATCAGGTAACCAACCATAAACCTAGTAAAATAAAAGTTTTTATTTGTGAAAACATTTTCAAAAGTATTTGATATGAAAAAGTTACTGCAGAATCACCTGACACAACCCGTACAGCTTAATGAGAGGAAATATGTTCCGATCAAATTCAAAGCGATTAATACATAAATTACTCATCATTTGGCACATCAGATTACTGACAAAACTTTAATGTTTATTAGGTCCCAACTTGTCTTCTATAAGGCCACAAGGCATTATTCACTGTTTACCATTGTGATTGATAGGGATATTCCTTTCAACAACTCATATCAGACAGTTTATCCACTTTCGCTTTGTGTGATATTGTGAGTAAAGTTCTGCAATTTCAACTGATACACTTATGCGGAAAGCTAGGTGTTGAATCACCTGCCTCTGTTTAAGTCCTAATCAATACTATTACCTATTATACTAAATTAACGAAAGTTAGCTGTTCCCTTTGTCAATTTGTAGATGAATTCGACAGTGAAAAAAACTGGAATGCAAATTAACTGAAACTGTCATTTGTTTGATAGTATTTTCCTATTACTTATCGCTGTGTATGAGTATGTCAGTGCTTGACAGTGTAATTGCTTTCTCACTAAGAATTTTAAAGTTGCATCTTTTTTTAGTTTTATTAAGGCTAATATTGTCTTTGTTCTTATCCTGGAAACCATTTTTGTCGCTTTTACGAAATAAAATTACCTCTGGCTTCGAAGTTGTCAAATGAGAATTAGGTGATAGATGTTACCGAGACATTTATTTGCATTAAATATGATGACTTAATCAACTACGATTTAAAGGTAATGATGATTCAACTAGTAATGAGCGGTATTATAAGCAATAACTGATGAAACTTATTTGTTAAGCACTACATAATTTAGGAATTTGACGAAATTGGTCACTTTGATAAAGCTTACTTTAGGTGAGTAATTCTAGTGAGTTCTTTAAATTATTTAGCAACCATCTTAAGAAAAAATGAACTTTTATTCAATAGTACCTTTTGAAAATCATTTCTTCTTATGACCTTTCTTTTGAAAAATAAAGCAAATCTAGAGGTATACCCATTTCGAATTATAGGCTATGTTTACTCAAATGACATGTATTATAGAGTACTTAAAGATTTACTGCTATTCAGTGGAAATATTTTCAAACAGAATAAACAAGTGGGATTAGATCGAATAAGTAACTTGTTGCTTCCCAATTTTGTAACCCTGTCTGTCTCTCTCCGGTGAACGTTGCAGATTTCTTTTTGCTATCTAAACTACCTAAGATAATAATTTACTTGACTGTGGCTAGCATAGGAATCCACGACGCACATTTCGCCCTATTTTGGACTCGTCATCTAGATGTACCTAAGCCTCACAACCAAGTAAATTATCATAATAAATATTCAGGCAATATCGAGACATCCGCATAGGAACCCGTATGCTGAAAGAGGTCGAACAATTCGACCCAGTAAAACGATGGAGAATTAGAATTATATCAAAAAATAGTGATATCTAAAATAATATTCATTAAAACGCATTGTTTCTGTGCAAATTCTGTTGAAACCCAAGTTTTCGTCTACCTTAAATCTCCATCCCTTGATATACGCATTCATCTGCTAATCTGAATATTTCAAAAATCCCAATTATTATTCAGTCAACAACTTCTAATTCACGACTATGAACCTGAAAACACTTTTGAAGTTCTTCAGTGGTGCCCAAAAAGAGAATGTATTCCTAATAAGAAAAAAATTTACTTGTTGAAATAGGATTTGTTTCACAACTGGACATGATGAAGCATAGATATTAACATAACCTACACTAACATAACAGAAAGACAAAACGAATGCTAACTGTCCAGTGGCATAACATTTTAACTCTAATTAAGCCTTACTCGTTCTATTCATTCAAACCTCCCTTGAAAATTTCATCATCAGGCGTCGCATAGTGTAATTTCGTCAGAGGGAATGAAGATAATAATCTAATATTTCTGCTTCTTGAGTTCTAACCTTATATGCCACAAATTGACAGTGTTGGTTAATCTTAAAGTCTGAAGATAATTTCTTATTATGAAGTGCTTTCAACCGATGGACCACGGTAAAATGAGGGAAACTGGACAAACTCTTTATTCTAGCTTAAAACTTTTATCAGTACTAATATTCCATTCTTTGAGCAATGACTTTGTTTAGAGTTTATGAACCATATTATCACTGAGATAGCACAGAAAGGAAAATAATCTTTAATGCCCAGGCGCATTGCAACGATTCGGGCTTTCAGTAATCAAACAATTCTATTAAGAGGGTACTCGCATACAGTTACTGACATGAAAAATAGTTTGAATTTACATATCCTCGTGAAAGAGAAGTTCCACATTCTAAATTGTAAGATTCTGCAATCGTAGATTTATTTGTGTTTATAATCTTATTCAAGACACCGTTGAACTAATTTTCATGCGCTATTCACTTTACAAACCTACTCAGCAAAAACTTGCTCCTTATTGTATTCTGCGGATGTTATACCGGTTAAGACGAAAATCACTGTTTATGTCATTAAAATCAAATCTTTTGAACTCATCAGATGTATAATGAAGATTTTGAAGGAAAATAATGGAATACACTAACGGGCATCATGGTCATCCAAGAACACAACGTGGAAACTAAACATATCCCTCTTTTGAGACTAATTTTAACTACTCGTAAGTAGGTTAAAACGTAAAAGCAAACATTGAAAATATTCCAGTGTATCTAAACCTTATTAATTTTTAGAATAACGCATGGTTGACTTCGGTCGTATCCAAAATTATTCTCTTTTACGCAGACACCAAGATCAACGGGATAAAATTTGCAGACCAGATCGACATCATCCGGTGACTTGATTTTATCACATGTGGCAAAACCATCTTGTGGTTGTATATTGACTTCTTCATAGAAATAGAGAAATGTTCGTATATCCTGCACAAATGGCATATAAGTTTGCGGATCTGAAGCTGCATAAGCTATCAGGGTTGTCATGAAGTTGTTGCGAGGTCTCATTCCTAATCCTGTAATACACGACATCAAAATAAAACAAAACAGACTTTTAAAACAATGAGAAAGTAAGTTACTAAAATGTAGTTTTGTTGCTAAGTATCACGTTGAAATTCTCAGTACAGAAGAATACGACACAATAAAAATATGATAAAAGCTGTTATGGTATCTAGCACAAAGAATCAGTTCCAAAACATTTATCTGATAAGGATCATTATCTTGAAAAACACTTAAAATTTTTCAAAGGGATTTGAATCCAAGCCGTATATCACTACATCACTTGAGAGATAATTACTAAACAGATAACTTCTCAAAGGATATATAATGCAGGCATACAGTCGGCTAAGTTATGCACAACTAAATCGCTGTGCTTATTAATTATATAGTAGTCACTTTATAGAATCTATTAGGAAACATATTTTAGTAGCGAAAGAAAATTAAATAAATGAATAAAAATAAATAAATAAACTGATCTATATATAACGGATTTACTGTCATGAACACATCATATTCTGGGTAGTTCTAGCCAATCAAAATGATTATTCATCCAGGTTAAATATAAAAAATGCAGTAGACAATAAGTTAGTAGTAAATCATTTACCAGCAAACGTTTTTTTACATATGATGAAATTGGTGTTTGAAAATTAGAGAGGCAACTAACCGTTATAGGTCACTAAACAGAGATATACATTTCACTTAAAACAAGCCCGTAAGCGCAAGACAGTAATATCCTTCAAACCTAAATGACAGATGAAGTGAAATATATCACTAAACAAAGATGTATTCAGATGACCACCTACTCAATCTAACACGAAATCTCCGAACATGTTGACCACTGCTCGATTAAACTATGAAGATGTGACATTGGATTCCATTCTACACCAGTTATATAACAATGCGGTTAAAATTAAAAGATTTTAAAAGTTCCAGAACTATAACACAAAAAATGATAGCAGGATCAGCAGTTTGCTTACTTTGGCAACAGCGAAAAATAAGAGAAATGAGTGGACAGTATAGGATAATCAAAATAGATCATGCCATAAGCTTGTGAACAGTTACTGCGTCTGAGGCTTTTCATAACTTATAACTGTTAAAACTTCGTCTGTCATATAAAATACTGGTTCGCACCTTTGTCTAATAATAATTTGCCGTCAGCTACCAAATGGATAACGGTACGATGGGACAAATACAAGACACTAGAAAGTATTCAAAATGCTGCTACCTTGATGTGGTGTTCGAGTTTGCGTATCACAATGACCCAACGAGCTATGGCGGTGGAAAACTGGTTCCTTCAAGATCCTTTCATACCACAAACGCTTGTTAGATGGTAGTAAGACGAAAACCAGTCACAGTTGTAGTATAAATTACTACACTATGATAGGCGGCTGAGGCTGACTTCTTAATGCTGCTAGCTGAATGGGGTGTGATAGTAGTAGGGTGGTTCTCTTGGATGACCAGCAATACCATACTGATACTGCCTTCTCTGTGGAAAGGGGGGATTGAAAAGGTTGACTCCCAAAATAGCACACTCCTCCATGCCTTACGGTCTTCCAGTGCCGGCGGTATGGGTTCTGTCTGTCCGGTGTTAGAAAAAAGCCCCTCAAAATAACAACCCGCAAAAGGCTGAGTGTGACAGACAACAAGCAGATTTCTCATGGCCTCTGCTGTCATACAGCTCTTTCATGTATCTTGAGAAGAACTAGCTTCTACGGTGTGGGCAGGCGGGAAGCGCCAACCACCTGCATGCTTCTGGTAGTGCACAAGACCCAATCAAACGTAATCTATCGTTCTCAACTCTGTCTCCTTCCTTGCATTCGCCTCCTGACAGTAACATTAGGCATCCTACGCCTTACCCAACCTCTCATTCTGTCACCATTACCAACGATTCAACCTCATTCACAGCCTCCTACGACCTCACCGCCAATGTCGTTTGAGAGCTCTCAACGTCGGAAACTTAAGCCAAATCGAACAGCAAGCATCGCTCGTCACAACTCTGGGATCTCGAAACACCAATGTACACTGTGTCTCAGAGACACGTATACAGACAGGACCCGAGTGTGGTTATCAAATTGAACTCACCTGATCATAGTAGTGAACCTTTAAAATTTCCCTGAAGAGTATCCGGAGACCTACCTAATGGCTAGCTTTCATGGACTCGCTGGTGTAGGCCTAGCATTGAGTTGTAGATCAGAAAGTCCACTTCTCGACTGGATACCAGTTAACAGCCGTCTATGTGCTGTTCGACTGAATGGATCTGTAAGAATTAGGAAGGATCGCCAGACCAACCGATGCCTACTCACAATCTCCCCCTACGCATGCAACGACTGCAGTTAGCATGATCCAGACGTTAGATTCTATCAGCTGCTGTCAATTTTGCCACAGAATCCAAAACGTTCAGATGCAGTTAAGACGGCGGATGACTATAACGCTCGAGTATGAAAGCTTAGTCAATCGGAAAGGCATCTCGAGATATTTACGGAATCTCATACCAACGAACAGACATTGGTGATCATCTGTCACAATTGTGTTCCGACAGTCATTTGTTTCTGACCAGCACCAACTTTAGACAGAACGAGAAACGCTGTCTCACATGGCATCCGCTGACATCAAACCAACTATAAAGACAAATGGATCATATTGCTGTAAGCCATCATTGGATAGGATCGATGGAGGGTTGCCGCTCTTTCTGGGGTACCAGTTTAGACCTCACACGTTAGTATGAACTCTCATATGTCTACGCCTTACTGGCTGCAAGAAACATGCGGTGGTAAAGTCTGTCTGTGATCGATTGGTAAATGAAGACACCAAATACGTTCCTAGGGAAGAGTTACCTAAGTATTTATCTGGACGTGACAGTAATGCTCATCTTAAAGAAACCTGGCATGATGTTATGCTTGCTGTAGAAACAGTGGTAAAAACATTTGGTAACCTACACACAAAGATTAGCAGAAGCCATTGGATTCCCACGACGTCATCCAAAATGATTGATACGAAAAGACTGGTTCCAGCTGACTCTGACCACGATGAAGGGCGAAAACAACTTGCACGCAGGTAGCTGAAGAGTCTTCGCAATGACGGCGAGCAGTGGTGGGTGACAAAAGCTAGGGAGAAGGCATCAGGGTTAGAGAAAACTTATTAAAGATACCTCCAGGAAGAAGACGATGGTCAGTGGAAGAATCACTGAAAACGATGGAATTTTGATAACCTCCCAGGACAGGAGGCTAAAATGTTTAGCAGAATACACTAAAGCACAGTTTAGTTGCACCTCAGAAATGCTACAGTGGCCCAACATTCAGCCTAAACCTGAATAATATGTAGGTATTGGTCCTCCAAATATTCTTGAAGTTCAGAAGGCTGCATCGAACATGAAACATTGCAAAGCAAGAGGACCTGATAGTGTAACACCTGGGGTTTTCAAGGACGGAAGCAGGATATTACTGATTAAAGTGACGGAGGTACTAGGTAATGTTTGGGAGCCAGAGGTAGTGCCATCAGACTGGTCTACTTCTCTGGTCATCTCAGTCTATAAGAAGGAAGATTAGTCTCTCTATGGTAATTATTGGGGAGTTAATTTGACTGATGTTGTGTCCAAGATAATAGGATTCATATTTATCCGGTGCCTAACTGGAGCTCGAGACCAGCAAACTCGAGTAAACCAGGCAGGTTCTAGATAAGGCTGGACGAGGGTGCATCGATCCCACTTGAACTTTTTGACAGGTTCTGGAACACAGGCATACCTACCGCCCAACAGCCGACACTTGCCATATTTCTTGACCTGAAGGCGGCATTCAACTCTGTCGATCGTGATGTGTTGTGGTAGTATCTGACTGTGAATGGAGTACCGAGAAAGTATACAATGCTTATGAAAGCACTCTAATCGAACTCACACAGCCGTGTAGGGGCTTGTGGACAGTTTTCATCAAAGCCAACGATAACTTGTATTGTCCGCTAGAGATCTACATTTAACTTCGTCATAGACGTACTGATGGACATAACTTTAGGTGGGTCTGACTTCACAGAGATTGATCTACTCCCCGGAAGTGATCTGGTAGACTTGAAATATGCGGACGATATCGTCCTGCTAGATGAAGATGCTGATCAAATCCAGAGTCTTGTGGATGCGTTTAGCAGAACTTTGAGTACGTTTCACTGCCGCGCGTTTTGCACTTGTCAAATGTAAGATGATGCTCCAGGATTGGTTTGCAACTACTTCGAGTTTGATGATATGGAGTGAAGCGGGGGAATATATTGACCAGTTGACTTACTTGGTGGGTTGTATCAGCCCAAGCGCGGTTGTTACTGACGGAATCTCAGCGCGGATACAGAAGGTCCGTCTACCATTTGCCATACACACACACATACACACACTTTAACCCAAGAATTTGTAGGAATGACGAAAATCACTCTCCTTACATTTGTCTACAAAGTGCGCTTCATCATACCCTGTGGATAGCCTTTCAGGCTTCCTAAACTTTTCGGCTCATTATTCAGATAAAGAGCATGAGAACACATAGATTCGTCTATATACCTGAACAAAAAATACCTAAATTTGGGAAGCTTCCCCTCTCAATATCTGGCGTCCTACCACAACTAACTCGCATTAGTGGAAAAATGAAGTTACATTACAGACACAGATTTTATAAAAAGTGAATCTATAAACTATTAGTGTTCACTTTACACATATAGCCCAGTAGTATGCAGCTTCTGCTCAGGCTCAAATCGACACTTACAAGTATCAAAACGTACAGCTCAAATTATATCAAAATAGATGATTTCCACTTGTACTTACATTTTGAGCAATTTAAACGATCGGACATTTTATTAAAACATCTGCTTCACGATACGGATTTAAAATAACCAATGAATTAAAAAAAGACAGGATTGAATAAACTTATGGATTCAATTAGGACTTATCATCACACTTGATTATGTGAACCATGGTGCAATGCAGGAAAATATATACCTACATAGCACAAGCTAAGGCATAGATTGATGTTTGATCGTATAGAAAGGAGTAATTTCTACAGGTCAGGTGGTAAGTCGAAGGTTCAAAGCGGTTGTTGGATTTGAATATACTAACGACAAATTAAGTTACTGTGAAATTGAATGGGTCTTCAGGAGCAAATAAATAGGTAGCAAATAGAGGTATTTGTCTACTCGAATAACTGAACACCAACCTGAATCGTTGCCGGTGTACAGAAAAGGAAATTCTACTACTCTAAAAAAAGAAACATCTCACGAACTATGGGTATAATTCTGGTGCTCTCAAACTTTCACGATTATTAGAAAGCAGTGGGACAAAATGCTTGCAACTGCACGAGCCTGTACAACTTGAATTGCCAAACCAAAACTCTGTACATAGACACAACGCCGGTAGAGCTAATCTACGGCACTAACTCCTACGTGGCTTGGTAATATCTATTCTTTTCTACCTGTCTTCAACCTTCAGTTACTTTTTATTGTTGTTGTATTTCGTTCTCAGTCTGTTTCACTGAACTTGCCTTTTCCCTATTATCATGTGACTATTGTTAGTTTTAGTATACATATGGCTTTTTTAGAATTCTTATCCTTACACTGTTACCGAGGGTCTAGACTGACCACGTTTTGTGCAGTCTGAGGGAATCTATCTTCAGTCAGTTTAGTTTTACCTCAGTATAAACATCATTACTGTCGTCATTGTTTTTTCACCCAAAATCCAAGTGATTTCGAAAACTCTCATTGTTATCCAACTTCCTGTTCGATCGTTACCTGCACTATTCAGAATGAATTAATTTACTTATATTTGATTTGAACACCCACTTTCGCGTTACTACCTGACCTGTAAAAATTACTCATTTCTATGTGGTCAAACTTCAATCGGCGCCTTATTTTGTGCCATGTACGCATATATTTTCTTATATTACATCATGGTATGTATAATCAAGTATATAGCATCTAGATAATGGTTCTAATAGAATTCATGAATTCATTAAACTTTACTTTTCGCATTTGCAATCAGATTTACCGGTTTTCATTCCTTCTGACATATCTAACACACTCTACGGAGCTGTTGAGAGAATTGGAAAATCTGAAATAATTTATGGCTTTGTAATTTGGGTAAATGCTGATCAGAAAGAGCATGGTAGAAGTTGAAACGTCATCCACAGAACCTTGTGTGTTCCCATTCTACAGCGAAATGACTGCAGCTGTTTGTACATTTCAACATTTCGAAATGGGTTCCCATCAAATTTACAAATATGCTTAGTGATAGAAGTTGCTTATACAATTACTTTTCATAGGTATCTGCTTCAATGAACCGATTATCTATTCAGTTTAATTGGTGGTTTATGTGGCTATGATAACAGACGTGAGCTCACTCATTTTTGACCAGGTATGTTTTCACAGTGTTAATCCTCAACAGGTTTGAAATTTGCCCCACAATAAAGACTGTGGCATCTAAAGCGTAACCACTTCAGCTTTTTAAACTAAGGATCCTCGGGAAAAAATCAGTAAGAATGTTATATTTTAAGTATAACTGTAAAATATGTGGCAAGCGGTTGGTAAGACAGCTACACACAGGAGGAACTCCAGATGCAATAAATTTATATGAATTTTACTTGCAGTTATTTCGTACACACTACAAGAATGCTTTTTGGTTTCACCATGGTTAAAACCCCAAGACATATTCAATCAAAACTGACACGCCACAAAACCAATTTTCTTGTGAAGAATATCGATTCGACCTTGTATAGTTACAGGAAATTACAAATATCAAAACAACAAACGATACCCGTTGTACAATAGGTGGCTATCATCCCTAGTGAATGAAGCTTTTGAGTTCGAAGCAATGGGTACTGGGTTCATGTCTCAGTTAAAACATTGCTCACTGGTGGCAGGTATTTCCAGTTGGCGAGTTCAAAACAGGATGAAAACCGCATCCTCAATTCCCCTGATAGTTGTCAAGATGAAGATAATATCAATAAAATACGAGTAAAGTTGACGTTTACTTTTCGTACTCAGACTATACAAGTTCTGTAACTGTCTATCACCATGTAAAAATTCAAATCATTTGAAGGGATAGTCAGAACTTCTGTTCATTTATTAGAGGTACAAAATAAAATACGCCTCCGAAAATCTTTATTTGAATGTCTTAACCTCCAGGTTATCATAAGTTTTCACCAAACCAAACACACTGTTTGTTTCAAAGGATATATTCTGCATATTTTAGATCCAGACAAACGACTAGCTCTCAGAAGTGACTGGTTAGCACGTAAAGGTGGTGAAGTTATCCTTTACGTAAAGAATACCCTAACTGTAAAAGCCATAGAAACAGTTGCACATGAAAATGGGACATGTGAAATGCTGCACTGCAGACTGTAATGCAAGGGACGAGATGTTAACATAATCGAAATATATCAAAGCCCTGAACGTGAGGCAGCAGACTTCCTCCTGAATAATCTGACCCTCTGGATAGATAAATGCTTAGTTGTAGGAGACTTCAACGCACCATTAGTTGACTGGGATAGACTAACAACAAAGGCACCACGTAAATCGTTTGATAACAGGTTAATGGAAACATCAATTTCCTTAGCCCTCATGCAGCGCATTAGGACGGCGACCAGATATGATCATCAGCATGCTCCATCAGTTCTAGCCTTAGTATTCTCACACACAGATGATGTATGCTTCATCTGGCATCTAGCACCCCTTGGTAAAAGTGATCATGCTGCTATCATCTTTAGATTCACAGCAGATGTCTTGTACCAGGCCGATGCACCAACTAGATCCAACAGATGGAAAGCGAATATGGAAGCTACTTACTTGGTAACTTCTTCGGAGGGCTGGACAGTCAATCCAGAAGCCTCAGTTGAAGGTGCGTGGTGCTCCTTCAAAACGTTATATGTACAAGTGACTCAACCGTTCATTCCGTGGACTGTCCCGAGGGGACGGAAACATTATCTTCTGTGAATAAACCACGAGATCCGAATCTTGCTACGACTTAAGAAAAAGTTTTGGAGTCTTGCCACTCACCTTGGTACACTCGAAGTGGTAAACCATTACAAAGAAGCCCACTAGGAACATACATTTTGTTTATGGAATATACTCATCACTGAGTGAAGTACAACTGTCGACAAAATCATTATCATGCAGATCAGTCTAACCAAACAATCCTGGAAAAGTCTGAGAAACAAAACTTAAGAATTAAGTAGTTAATAAGATGAAATAGTTTAAGGACACCAAGAATGACAAGTGCATACACCTGTGTAAGCCTTCTCGATGGAATCAAAAACACGAACAAGAATAATTCCTACAACACGGTAACCAGGCTAGCTTGGCACCAATGTTTTTAGTACTTCACTTTTTCAACTCATAACTTGTCGTCGTATTACGTTTTCTATATTGAACGATCCCGATTAGTTGTATTAAGATACTCTGTTTGATGGCGAATTATGGCCATTTTGATTTCTCTCATTCAAAATTCAGCCTAAGATGTCCCCAATGATGTATTTAAGATGGCTGGAAATGAATCGATCAATTTTGGGACAGTCAGTGCCCATAACTCAAAATGGTTATAATAGCAAATCAATTAACATTGCTTTGTAAAAGAAGCACGAAATTTGTTGGGTCATCGAAGACACAACAAACCTTTGCAACATGATAAAATAGTTAGTTTAAAAAAAGAAGATGAGAAATTACCTGGTGAAAGTGCGAGCGGGCTGTCAAGACCAGTTATATAAGGTTGGTCATTACTGATAATTAGTTGGGTGATTATTATCAGTAAGCCAGTCATTATAACAAGCAAACACAGATACAGGATGAAGTAATGTAACCAAAATTTAACTTAGAAATTACTGTGAATTTAGTAGAATACAACCTACCCCAGCCACTCACAGTACGTCCCATTAAGTATTTTGTCTTTTCATCACTGTTCCAAACTTGCTTCTTGTACCAAGGATCAGTTTTTTTATTACTAGGATATGAAGAACCTTCATCATTCAAGAATGGAAGTTTCTCATCACCCGAAACTGACTTCATCCTTGAAACAAAGTAGCGCTACTGGTGGTATTGCCGCTGTTTACATTACAAACACATTTGATACAAAAGCAAATTTAAGGAAATGCTCCTATGCGCCTTTTATTAATACTAGACAATCCTCCGGAATTTATCCTCAAAAAGTCTTACTTTTGACGGTCTTTCGTCATCGATACTTAAATAGCAGTTATAAAATTCTATGCTTCTTCAAACTACACAAATTCTGTCATAAGCGGGAAATATCATTTATAGTGGTTCACTACAGTTCTCAGCATACAGCCTTGTAATTTTTTAGCAGGTAGAGTAGTGAAATAGGGGTTTTTTGTGTTCTGCGTATTTAGTGTTAGACCCATATCTCGGTGTGATATTCTGTTCCTGCTTACTCTTCAAGGCTCTAAAAAGGCAAACAGGAATACAAGAAGTAGTTCGACGTTCTTATGAGGATCCAGTGAACATCGCCAGTAGATAGCAGAAACCAAAAACACTTCCCAACAAGCTTTGGGACGACCTACTAGGAGCACATTATCCCACAAACGTGAAGGTCTCCCCTTGAGGAGAAAACACTCCCAACTGTGTGGCACTTAAAATAAAGAATAAAATAAAAATGGAGAAGTCTGTTGGCATCGTAGCTTACACTTTGGATTAGTGCAGAAGCCGGTAGGTACTTAGGGCTTCAATTTTCGGTATTCCTGATATCTTCTTTCGCAAAAGGAAGACGTATTACAGCCTCCCTTGTGGAGTAGGAAATGCCCCTAACGGTGACAATTAAGGATGAAACTCTGAATGAAAACTAACTACGTACCGTTGGAAATATTTTTTATTTGTCGGCCTCATAACTCTAACACTTAGCTGATAAGAAACACCCTTAATGTTTAGCTAATAGGGACAGCGTGCTGCTTGTCGTGTATTAATACCTTCAGTAGATGCCCCTGAGAAAAAGTAGTTTCTCCTTGGAATAGAGAAATAAAGAGTCTGGTACTACTTAATCCGTCATTGGTCGTCCCTTGGGTGTAGGGCAGGCCCACATCAAATTGATTCGTTCGTGGTGATTGTGTCTCTTAATTTTGTCTTCAGACATATTCAATCCCAGAGGGAGGGACCAGATTAAATTCAACGATACCAAAGTCTCCACTGAGAATGAGGCATTACAGTGTAAAGTTATTCCATTTTCTATCCGTAATGTTGCGAGAATCGGTTGATTAGACGTACGTATACATTGGTCACAGAGAATATTGGACCGTTCTACCGTTAGCTCGCCACCCGTCGCGTGAGCACACTCAGTTACACCAGTGTCAATTTTTAGGTGTGCACTGACTGTTTCAGTAACCTACTCTGACCGCTATCTTATATATGAACGATGGAGTGTCCTTCACATATTCTGACTAAGCCATCAAAAGGCCATGCGTAAAAATATCAGCATTCAGGAAACTTTCACCGAAGCTGAATTACAGTGAGTAGATACTTTCAAGCGATGGAGAACATTTATCGGCGTCATTCCCCTGATGCTGCAGAATCTGAAGTCGTCAGAGGACAGGGTAACCAAAGGACTAGACTCTGATGATATGTCCACATGGAGGCAGCCTAGAATCGTTCTTTGAAGAGATCTGCTCTTCAAAGGCCTCCCCCAGGACTGCCCCTCCCCGGTGCTCACTTTCAAACTTCAGAAGTCCTGGAAGAATCGAACCCAGGCCTGCAGGTAAGCAGCGAACACGAAAAGGAGATCTTCTTCAGTTATTTAACGGGAGGAAACATGTCAGAAACCCTAGTGAAGACTACGAACTTGGTTCTAACCATCGGCTTGTTACCAGGCCCCTCAACTTGTTCCTTTGTGTTTTAGGTGAACAGAGTGATGCACATGCAGCTCGTAGGGAGGCTAGCTGCGGTGATTAGGGGTCCAAAAGGTAGACGACGGTCCAAGAAATATTGTCCGCCTCTAAAGTCAACGACTTGAAGTGCAAACCATCATGGTCAAGTATTCTGATGATCACCCTGATAAGAATTAGTTAGACTCCAAGTACTTTTCTGGCCCCTCACTTGACGCTGAGGCCCAAACCGTACCTCATGTTCTCGTCATCTTCAGTCGAATGTCAATGACATTTAGTATGAGTTTTGCTAACTCCTAATGAACTGTCTCACATATGCTATTCAATGCCTTGCGTTCGCATTTGGGATAGATACAGAGTTCGGAGTTATTGGTCAGATGTCCATGCTCTGGTTTCCAAAAATAAGTTCTGCAAAATATTTCTTACGCTTTTTTCCAGTACCCCTATCAACCCGTAGGAGCCGATTCGAACACCTGTTAGGCCTACTGCGCAGTAGTTGGTATCAGTGTCACTACTTGGGACCCCAGTCTCGCACCAGATGCTCCCAGTAGGTGAACCCAATTCAAGTCAAATCTCCGTTGGCTATGAGTTCATCCATGCCCCAAGTTTGAGCACGGGGTATCCGACTTATCATAACAGGGTCATCACCTACGGTTGGTACTGCAGCCTGCATCCAATGTACATATAGATCGTTCAGGCTCACTCCAATATTAAGCATCTGCCGCTTCAACTGCAGTTGTATATGTGATTCTACGAAATCGTTTTCATGGTGAGTCACGGAATATTATCCAACTAATAGGTGCACTTTGCTCGAGCATAAACTCATTAGTGGAAACTTCACATGAACCACCTCAGTATGCCCCCGAAATGAATGGTAGTATGAGGAAGTCACTAGTAATATATATAAGTATTCCATCACCCCTGCAATATGTGTCAAGACAGCCCGTAATGTATGAATCCCCACAGAAAGGCAGGGTAAAATCTACATTCCTCAGGGGACAGGGTCTGGTAAAGGCCAGTATGTCGGAACCTAGTAGAGACAGTAACGCTCTTGGCTGTAACATTTGACTTCCAAGGCCTGAAGCGTTGATGCAGGGCAAAGTCAAGGTGCTTGAAAGGTAAGCTAGCCAGAGTATTCGCGTCTCGAAAGCATTCGTTATTAAGGCCCCACAACACGAACTCATGGTTCCTAGGTCATATCGTTCCACCGACAGCATTCTGAGAGCCACACATGGAGTTGTCGGGATGTCTTCAAATCGTTTCCTAACAATCTTCGGGGCTCCGTTCACGGGCACCAGTCTCCTGGAAACCTGGGGGTGCGGACCTCTGGAGGCTTCTTGAAATTTTCTCCGGGAACAGTGCAATCACGTTTACCGCTCACCTCTGGCAGAGGAGTGTCAAGACACAGTTTTTCCTCAATTCGGTGGCAGTCATAGCTGGCCTGCCGGCCACCTTCGGTACCCTCTTAATTCAGCTGCACGTTCCAGGAAAGGGTATGATAAACGACTAAAGCAAAAAGGCCCAGTGAGAGCGACATCAGCCGCTACATACACAAGGGAAGGTACTTATTTCAAAACGCCACACCAAACTTCATTTTCCGAGATGCAAAAGTTGAGTGAGGCTCCATGGAAAATTGGGGAAATAAGAAAACTTGGAAGTTCAACTAAATTTTATTCGGCAAAAGTTCGTAGGCGGGTCTTCGGTGTACTGTGAGCAGTGAGAGTTGAATCTGTCATAGTGTAGGTCATACTTCGATTCAGTCATCACTGGTGCGCGGATTCAGATATTAAGCATAGAGGAAGGAATACCCGACTATGCCCACTCGCTGTAGTTTGTTGGAGTTGTTGGTGCTTCTCCTATAAGACTTAAAGTTGTCCGCGTGTTGCTGAGACGGAGACCGAGGTCGACCAGCTACCTGTGACACTCCTTGAATACCGAAGAGTGTGAGACCAATAATGAAAATAATGTCATCACAATGTAAGACATGTATACTTTATGAATCATACCAAAATACCGGAGTGGTTGAAGTAACTGGTCCGGGGATCGCCAACCAGAACTACAATACAAAACGAGGACGCACCGACCGGCACAGACGCCTGACCATGAGCCTTCAACTTAATAAGCCCGTTACAACTGTAGGGAGCCAGCATCGAGTTTGAATATCACTAAGTTTCAAGCATTTTCGGAGGACTATCTAGTGCCACGAACTTATCCGGCACATGTTGTGAAGGTGTCTTAAGGATAGGGCGAATGCGTATTTGCAACCATGAGACCAGCGATTACGGTTTCCCAAGAAAGACTTAAAACGAGAATGTCTAGCATCCTACTGCTCCGTGTCATAGTAACTGTGTGAATAACATTATTTAGTACTCGACATTCAGATCCCTATAAAAACTAAAGTAACTTGATGATAACAACCTCTGAAGTGCCAATCATGCCTCGGCACCTTCCCTCTACGCACATACTTGCTTCTGTTGGTCAGTCAGTGAAAACCTGAGGTTTTTCGCCCTTTAACCGTCCTCCTCGGAAAGAACCGCATGTACACTTATCTAATGGGATCTTTTATCTCAGAAACCAACAGTTTCGCAAAATAAATTATGTGTGGATCGTGAAATCACCGACTGGTCACCACCGGGACTCCCCAAGTAGACAGCTGTGTAGTAGGTCCAGCCGTCTTGGTCAACTGCAGTAGCTCAATTTACTGCGGCTGCACCACTACTTATCCCACTCAGTCATGCATCTTAACCTTGTGGGGAGCCTTTGAAATTCTTCTGAGTGATACAACTTGGAAACTGAAGGCAGGGTTGTCGACATATCCTACCTACTGTAGATTTTCTGGTTTTAACCTGACCTGGTCATTTTTATCCTGTCGTTTCTCCTAGTTACCTATTGAAATGAGTGACCACAGTGTTTTGGCTAACTCCGGTCCCCAAAACACTCTGAGTGGAGCCCAACCACAGTTACTGACCAGCCCTAATCTTGGTAGTATTTGGGGGTGGAGATGGAAATTGTAAAACCGGCTCGAGGTACTTCGCCAGAACCGTCACGGATACCAATTTTCAAAACTGACTGAATACATGACCCATACAACATCCAGAACACATCTGTCCTCGTTCACCAGAGAGGATGGGTAACTAGCGAGCCTGACTCAAACCCTAACCAGCCTGTAGAAACTTCAAAATGAAAACGGTATGGGACGAAATAGAAGCCCCTGGCTAGACCCCTAAGCATAGTGACGATTGTCACACGCTCGGTCTAACTGTGGCTAGAAGTTATTCGGCTTTAGATTCTAACACCTGTATAAAGTAGGTACACCGTCAGTTGACGCTACTGTCACGCCGTCATAGTCCGTCACCCGTGCACGTGGTCGGGAAATATCTGCCCATAGTGCCACTGCCACCCACAGGCTTGCTTGATGACGTTGCAAAAGGCTTCCGGCACCCACACGGACCATTCCCACAGGTAAGAGTCAGAAAACAAGAGGGTAAGTTCCATTCACGGAACGTCGTACCCGTGATTATTCTGAAAGTGGTCAAGTGCTTGCTATCCCACACACCGGTCATCATCCAGTCACCCACCATTAAGGCTGGGCCAGGTGTGTAATGGCGAGTGAGCAGAATATCCTACAAGCTGAAACCAACAACTGTTGTCATCCGCTGTGCACCGGAAATAGCAGTTGGCAGGTTGGTTGAAAAGTACACCCATGATGTCCATCAGTGGCAATGGTTATCGGCAAAGTCTGAGTTGAATGGAATGGCGGTTGCAGCGATCCCCAGGCTCCCATGCCCCAAACATCTAAGGACTGTAGTATCGCCCAAATCCATGACCATTAGCTGAAGATGCCCGGAGATTCTAGACAAAACACTGCAAACGCAGTGCCTAGTTGAAGAGAACATCGGTGAGAAAATTCGCTGACATGAAAGCAGGCCCAGAACCCTGAGTCAAAGAAACGACATCCCCCCTTCCTGATAAGGTCAACATTACTGTTCGCAGGCAATATGACGCCTTAACTGATTTTTACTAGACGATATCTCCGAGTGACACCAATCCGGTTCCCCGAAACTGGCCACTCAGTAAAACCTCCTACCCTGTCAAGCGGCCCAAGTGTCTTGACGGCAATACTAGGGGACTTGGAGGTGAGAGCGCGGGGCCAGGATCCCCCATCCACCCTTCTCCGGAGATCATAAACGTGATGAAGACGTACTTATCGTCACATTTTGGTAACTTCGAAGCTAGTATTGACGGTATGCGTCCGTTTATGAAAATCACAGAACACAACGAAGGAAGCAGAGCGGCAGTGCCTGTGAGCGACCATTTCAGAGGTAAAAAGGCCACCTATACTGCTGTCATGGCCCCCAAACTCAGTCTGGTGCCACTTTACAGCTGAACACAGCAGATATCTGGTAGGGCTGTCTACAAAAACCCCACCAACAACATGGAGCAGAATCGACAGCTGCTCCAAGTAATATCCGTAGTGGCCACCATGGAAAATGACCGCGTCCACACAGGAGGGGATTTTAATGCCACAACTCCTATTCTTGGGCAAGACGGGGAATCTTCAAGCCAGACATTCTACGGGAACCCACTCAACGCCGCTAAAAAGGCTGGGCTGCATGACAGTAATAGCAATGACTCACTGAGGATCGAGCGGAAAATCGTAAAAACCGGAGTACCTTCTTACCAGGGACCGTTTGCTGGCAGAAAACGTTCGGGGTCAAGCCCCTTAGGTGGTAGCGATGGTGGAATGTTTGTGTTCTATCTGCCATTCAATGAACAATCATCAAGGGAGGAGTTTCGTCCACAAAGGTCTGTGGGCAGCAACTTGGGCGTAGGAGTGGAGTACCTTGTCGACTGATCAACACTGGGGACTAAGGAGGGGTATAGTGAAGGGAGTTATCTCAGAAAACGTCCCAACAGTCACATTGGCACCCGAGAAGTGGACCTCTCGCGGAAGAGGAAGACGAACGCTTCTTGAAAGCTGGGTGGAAAGCACGGCATAATCAGAGGATCCGCAGAAAAGTGCCAGATCACAGCTCTTGTATGACATTGATGCGACGCCAAAGTGGAGGGACAGGAGGTCATCCCAGACAGACTTCAGCCAAAAGCTTGGGACCTCAAAAACTTATATCGATTCATGGCGGAGGGAAAATCTACCGCTAAGGGAGCTTGTGCTGTGAGAGGCTAGGATGGCAAGAGCCGCTTTGGACTTGAAACCTCCCTCCTAAAATGTTATCCACCCACTGCACTTCGACCAGTGCTGTTGAAAGTAACGGACAGCCCGGTAGACAACCATGGCAGACATCACTTGGAAAAGAGAAATAACAATAAGTGGTCTTCAACATGGTTCCTGAAAAGGCAGATCCTGCACCTCAAACCTTCTAGCAGCTGGTTATAACAGGACACCATGCCCAGACCTCTAAATCCCTGTTCACGCGGCTTTCCTAAGTTTTTCCAAGGCTTCTGATGCAATCTTACGCGTCACTTTCATTCGCCGAGTGCTCTCCTGGCTGTAGGACTGTCTAGACAGCAGAGCATTGCGCACAAAGGTCAACAGAGTTTGTTTGACTTGGGGAACATCATCTTCCGGTGTATCGCAAGTAGAGATTTTGGGCCCGCTGCTGTTCCTTACCCTCGTGGGTTACCTCCTACTGAGCCTCAGCTATCCAATTCTAATTTGCGCTGATGATGTTAGGTATTGGAGAACTGTGGCTTCCGGAACAGAGCCAGGCGCACCACAAGGCCATCTCACATTGTTTCCCAACTGGATGAGTAATAACCGACTAGCACTTAGCCTGGATAAATGCCAGACCATATTACTCCACACCCCGGACGCTCAAAATTCATTCTACTCCCTCTATGGTAACTTTCTCACACCACCAAGAAGAAAGACCTGGAATTTACACTAACCGGCAAGCTGAACAACTGCCCCAATTATCGAACATATACCTCTGGAGCCTATTGTGCTAGACTCTTAGAACAGACGGCTTGGTGTCGCCACTCCGGAACTCTTCCTGAAACCGTATAAGACCCACACACCACCTTATTCCGAGGCCCATACTGTCACTTCGCCACCAAACCTGGAAAGGGACGTTGACCCCCAGGGAAGATCCAGAGGCGAGCAACGAACGGCGTTATGGGAACTAGGCGAAAACCCTGCGAGGAAAGGCTGAAGGATCTCAGCCTTTATTCTCTTAGCCACGCTAAGTTGCTTGGCGACTTGAAATCGCCCGACAAAGTGCTTGGGAAGCCAAGTTATCCGAAAGGTGGAATCCAACCCAGTGGTCACTGTGCCAGTCCTTGTGGAAATCCAAGGAAGACTGCTCATCCATGGAGGTGAACCCGTAGGCGTTCACACTTTTTCTCTGTATGTTTGAGATCATTGGAATGAATCGCCTGCAGAGATTGCTACTGCTCCGTATGTCGATAGCCTCAAGAAGAGTTTGGATAGCTACGCGGTTTCAGCTCATCCATTTGGGACACAGACCAGTTTGATAAAGACCGCTAATTTCTCACGTTGCAGCACATTCAACCTTATGCCGAATTTTTTGCACAGCCACGGCCATCGCGAACTTGACTCAACCTCACACTTTCTGTTAGGCGTCTAACTTCCAGTTATCAGACCCCCAATAGTGACACCACTATATCTACTCCCACTGTCCCTCCTATAATACCAACTGCCCCTTCTCCTCTCCCCAATTCAACGATTTCGTCCTACTTATTAGAGTTCTCCTAATCAGAGTTACGTTTTCCGTCTTCTCGGGATCTACCTAGGTTTCTGCTGGCCTTCCGTTCCGCATCTTTTCATCTTGTTTTTCCTCACTTTCTCTCACTTGACTTTGCAGTACATCTTTTCGTCCCTTCTTTTTTCTCCTTCCACAGTCCAAACGACTCCCTGGTGCCGCAACACTTGATGAACCCTTCTGCACCACAGTCTATGGGAAAATTATTCGATCCCCCATAGGCTTCGTTAACACGGGCGCCCGATAGACTGTTCACAGCTGCAACAGGCCTCTGGATAAACCTACTGCATCGAAATCCACCAAAGCCCTGGAACGGTTCTGAGAGAACTACTAGGGAGTGTGAAGAAAACAACCAGCTTACACTACTTCGTAAAAAGATATTGGATACTGGGACCTCACAGTTAGGGAATCCACTAACTTGTGGTAGGAAAGTGGAATGGTAAGTTTGGAATAAGATATTAAGGTATTGGACAGCTGCTTATAACTTTCGGGTAATATTTTATATCTTCAGCCATCTACAAAGATTGAAATTACTTTTACTGAATCAAGTGTGCACAAATTCTCGTTACTATGTTTACCGACACATTTATGTTTTCGTTAACGGTTGTTTGTGTTGTGTTTACGATATGCACAGTTTCTCCAACTTTGCAGGGTATTTCCTATATCTCATTACTGTTATCTACTTGCAGAAAGCTTTTGCGCATGTGACACTCGACAGCTGATTTGTGAAAAGTTTTGTGAATGTGATACTAGTTGTTCTGTTGATGATAGAAATTCATTTGTTGAGTATTACTCGGGAAAGAAGTAAAAAAGACTTCTGAAATCATTTTCTAGTAGGTCTCATCACAAAAAATGGTGCATTCCGAGTTTACTTCATTTCTCAACAAGCTGCCCCTTTAATAAAAGTCAAGAAGATAGAATGCTTTGTTTTTCTGATGAAATTTGTAAGTCTAGCAGTCATATATAAGTTTCAGATGCCAAAAACAATTATTTTACAGCAAAATATGTTGCTAGACAATTTAAGTGGGGACTTGTTTCACCAACTAATTCGAACCAATTAAATGGCTGTGTAATAAATTATTTCGTATCATTTTTACTTCATTATGCTCTTTGGTTAGACGAAGGATGGTCTGTGCCTACTTTACAGTAGCAATACGCTAGGACGCTTCATAGTACCTAGTGGGTCAGGATGTCTGACTTCTTTCACCCCAAGTAAGCACAGTTTGGTTTATAATTTTAAAACTGATATTTATTCGTTTCATGTGCCATGTAAATCTAAGGTTTGCTTTTTTGTACAACTTGTGTGGCAATGTTTATTTCTTGCCTATTCAACATGATTCCCTTTTAGTAATGAGAAGTTGGGGGTAATTTGTACACGCAGTGATCGTGGTAAAAACCAGTGCAGTTCCCTACCTACATTTCACAAAAAGAAACAATCGTAAATACAAAGATGTAATCTTTGGTCTCCCTTGTCAGTATTTAAGCTCTGGAAAAATGTCAGTACACCGTTTCGCAATCTGGATCTGGAAATGAAATTTATTTAGTAGATTCAGTCCCTTCTTGGATATATTGTCAGAAGTAGTTGATGTGGCTTAACACAGTAAGGCCTTTCATTTATTGGATGTGTTTTTCAGAGGCGAAGTACTACTAAGATAATAAACTTGTAATTCCTGAATCTCGAAAGACTTTGAAGTGGAGTACTGGCTGCCCCACAGACTGAAAAACTATTGGAAGTCGTATTCAGAACAAGCGATAACAGCTCCTTCGGTCAGCACATTCAAGAAAAATCTGAATTTATACAGAATTAACTAGTGTGAGGATAAGCTTAAGCTTAAAGTGTTATATCATCCTTGCCGAAGACTCAAGTGTGATCCAAGGGATCGCCAGTTCTTCAGGAACAGAAATAATAATAAATTGCAATACATTAGTTGTTGTCAAGATCAAATGATTACCTCTTTTCCCATGGTAAGAGGGTGGGATGCAATTCAGTGGTCTTGATCCCTTATTATTAGCCTAACAACTTCGTCAGTCAACGTACCGGTCCACCGACCATCTTTCTCAAAAGTAAGATTAATTTTGATATCTTTCCAGCCCGAAACTGCTACACTAGAAATAAGCACTGCTTTGATCGGCAAAACAGCTTAAGTGAAACTATTGGGTGAATAAACTTGTCCAACTATATAGGGGACCTGAATAAAGCACTCTTATAAGCTGCGGTTTGTGAGTCCTGGTATATTTGAGCCAGTGTGAGAGAGTGGGGTTGATTTCTGACACTGTTTATAGTCTTAAAAAACTTTAAGTTAGTTTTGACAGTAATATATTACCTGTGTTTCGTGTACCCTGCGAGATGCTATGATGATATCTGAAAACTGATTTACTCAGTCCTGAATGTTTTAGTCTTTGTTTTCTCAGCCAAGTTTACGCGGAGTTTTATATGTCTGTATACCATGTAGGTGTACTTATGAAACTATGGATAGCAGTATAATAGTCGTTGTGGAGTAAACCGTAAGATAAACGACATTGTTATGAACGGTAACTGGTTGTTTGTTTTGAACTCTAAGTGGATTACAAACTACCATGAACAGAATTGAGTGTCACATTCGAAATGGTAATTAAATTGTGGTTACTAATGTTCACTATTCACAGGCTTTTACCTCCAGATAATAGTAGAATATTAGAAAAAGTTTCGGAGTTTCATATGATTGTTAGTAGGCTAATTAATTAAAGACATTTCAACCGTGCCACCATAGCGGGTGATAGTATGCTTAGAATTCCAAAAGGCTGTATAAAATTTCCATATCATGATTGATATGTTTGTGGTAGGTGGTTATACTTCTTAACCCTCTTTTTTTCTTAACCGAGCGGTTCCTGATAATATAAGACGATTTTAAAGTTTTACACAATGAATTTTTATGCTTTTGCCCTCCTTTCTTTCGACATTTCAATACATTTCCTCATCCGGTGACACAAAAAGTAGGATTTTCTGAGTTTGTTTCTATTGGCGCTTAGGCCTGTGTAAATTTCTTTCCTTGACGCCTTTAACTCAAAAAAGTGTTGACAGTTATTCTCCCAAAAGGTTTGATTCACTAACTAGTCTGTGATAGAAATCTGGTCATTTCATAGACAATATTCATGATTAGATTAAGTAGTTTATGAAGGTAATCACACATATGCATATGCGAATAATGATAACGTTTCCTTGTATTACGAGAAAAAAGTTAGGCAGGAAGGGTGACATCAATAAGGTAGGATACTGTATAATTGTGTATTTGAACAAGATGTTACGTAAATGGGTAGGAAAACTCTTAGTTGATATGGATGTCACATAGCTTTCTACACACAATACGTCAGTGGCATTTTTCAGCCTGAAAAGGTTCTAATACCGAAGAATTTGAGGATTTGTGACTGATTTTAATAAGTTCAGAAGTACTTTCAGGAATATGTCATAGGCTGTCAAAAAGTTTCATAAGCCCAGAAGGGAATAAATGCTGAACGGATTAAAGTCAAAAAAGTGTTCACAAGCTGATACGAGAAAAAGGTGCATAAAAGCTTATTATTTGAAGTGGGAACGTGTCAGATGATAAGTAGAATGAAATAGGTGATTTAATGCAAATTATGTGACAGAAACCTCTATTAGTTTCCATGTCGATGTCCTAAATTGTACTCAAACCAAGATGTCAATTCTTATTTCTAAATGCAAACGTAAACAAAATAGCTTCTCCCTTCCCACAAATACATTGTTTATCAGATCATCTAAGATTTACTTTACTTTTATTTCTGTTCTGCAACAAAGTGTGCTGCATTTAGGGTGACTGAAAATGTTTTCACGGCTACCTAGTCAAGTCGGTATCAATTAAAGTGACACAGAAATGGCACTGATACCTCGGGATCAAACTAGGTGAAACATATTAGTCATTCGAAATCTGTGAATTTAAAAATCAGAGCAATCTAGATATCAGTAGGATATTTATTCCTTTTAGGTATAGTGCTGTACCTAAACAGTACTGTTCTCTGATTTTATGTCACTACACAGACTAAAATGTCAAACTACCTAGAAGTAACCAGGTTAATCAACCGATAGGACAATATGTATTACTTAACCAAGCAGAAAAAATGTACCCTGTTCACCAATGTGTTTTAATAGGGTAGTAAAAAGTAAAATAAAATGAATTCATTCTATTCCAGTAGTCGCTTGTTAAATGAAGAACAGTGTATGTAAATTATTAGTCCAGTTGTAGGAAACAAGAGATTATCATGGTAAAAAAGATTTCCAAATACCAATTCTGATACTGAGGTGTTTAGAATGGTATTTCATAAGGACAAGGCATTACAGTATATACTGCGGTTTGATTTTATACTTGTAAGTATAAAGTGAATAACCTAGAGGATCAAGTAGCTAAACCAGCAACTAAAGTGATTATTGAAGCAATCGATTGTCAGTAGAAATCTGATTACTTTCAATAAGTCTACTCCCTACATTCGTCAAATTAGTGTAATCATATTTTCCAAATTATATTATCGTTTAATAGACCATAAGAATACTTATAACACCTGTCGAGTTTTTTATGACCTACTCGTAGAACAGTTTGTTACCGAATTACTTCAATAACTATCGTTGGGGGAACTCCACTACTTATTAAGTTGGTGATATTACCTCGACTGTAGTCTTGAAAATGCATGAAACCCAATCCAAAGTTTCACAACTGACAACCTTTCACCATTTGTTAAGAGCATCTACACTGTTTCCCGATTTTTATTATTTCTGTGTTTGATATCATTCCTTAGTGAAATAGATACTTGCAACTTAGACCTTACCTCTGTGCTTCAAGAAAGTTAAATTACGATTTTGCGAGGGTTAAAAGAGAATATATTTAAACTCAAAAACTTCTCTACTTCATCTACTTATGAATATAAATCACTTTTTCCAGAGTTTCTACATAATACAACCATCAAATGTAACCAAATATTAAATCTCACGGATGGAGTTTCAAGCTGCACGAAATTACGGAATATTTTGACCTACACTGACAAATTAAAATTCATCCGATTACCGATATCAAAATTTCTAATAAATGGTGAGTATAATATAGAGGCTATTAAAGCCAACAAGAGTGTAAAATCAATTGGTACGATTACTTGCAAAGATTTGAATAATACTGTAATATTGTGTCCAATATCATCAAACTTTGATTCAAACAAGCGAGCATGCATGAACGCTATAACAAAAGTAAGTTCCTTACTTCATATCTATTTGAAATACATAGATCACGGAAGTCTAGGAAATAAATTCCATTTCAACTTTCCTTATAACTTTAACATTTATTCAACTGAATAGCACACAAATAACTTTGAGCTAAGATCCCGTTCAGTTTTCCAGCGTAGTAGGATTCAAAACAACGGTACTTTTTAGTCAGTTGTTGTGATATCCTAGCCCGGTGATCAATTCAAAAAGCAGCTGTAAGTAAAGTAGTTCATGACCATAAACCTCAACACTAAGGTCAGTTTGTCTCGTGTTAAGCTTCCTGAGGATAAATTTACTCCATAGGTGTTCGAAGCCTTCTCAAATTCTCCATCTTTAAATTTCAAAAAGTTAATTCTTAGCTTCTTCATAATCTATTCAGCAACTGTAATTGAATTTGATAATTTCTTATTCAACAGTATAGGTTTGTAGTAGATGAGTTGCTTTCTGCAGATATTATATTTCTGACTAGAGTTTTCTCCAAGTTTATGCATAGGAAGCTCATAATTTGGTACGTGCTTACCAACCGCCCTGTGAGATAAACATTTATATCTCCAAAAGAAACGATAAGGAAGTGCAGAAGATATATATCGTTTCGTTTCGCTTGAGAGTGAAACAGATAGTTAGTAAGAGTAGTAGTACTAATTATTTTCTGATTTAAAATAAAATGGCTATCAGAATTCAACGGGTAGTATGACTGAATGCAAAGATTCTGCATGCCTAATTTAGGCCTTAAATTATGCATCCTCGGTGCACAAGTGTAATGAAGAAACACGAAGCATTCTAAGGTGTAAGGATGGTAAGAATTATTAGTACTAAGCATACTGGTAATACTTGAATAAGTCTAGCATCTGAACATAGTAGCACTCTGAAAAAAGGAAAAGTTTGAGTTGCACCTTAAGCAATGCAAGAGCAAACTTAATCTCATGAAAAAATATATTAGTGATGATAGAAAATATACCATGGAACGTAATGTACTTTATTGTCAGATTAAAGTCGGCTTATTCTCCGATAGGATTGAATTCTGTAAAAAATGGAGTAAATATTCTAGAAATTTGTTTCCCAAGTGTTTTTCATTATCAATTTGTTAGGAACTCATTAAGATCACTGATTCTCTGAACAATGAAAAATCATCGAAAATATCCATCAGGACACTAGAGAAGATGAGAAGTTCAGCGAAGATAGCTTTTTCAGCGATTTCATTCTCCATAGCTGTACAATCGTAAAGTATACATTTTTTATCTAACTATATTTATTAGTTACAAGAATTACTTAAATAAACCTACTAACAAGTATGATGTAAGGTGAAAATTAATCACACATAGGCATAGAAACCGACATAACCAACCAGACATAATGTAAAGTTGCATTATACGTTAAAATATTTTCAAGATAAAGCTTGATCAAAGATAAAATGGAAACAAAATGAAAACGACATTTGTTTACCATTTGAAATAAAATGAACTATGGAAGTCTAGAAAATTAAGTCAATTTTAAATTTCCTCATAACTTAAAAATTTTCCGGCTGAACTTCTTGTTTTCTGGAATGAAGAATCATCATCCCTGGAAAGACGCCATTCTGTATGGCAGAAAAAGTGTATCTCAGTGTAGAAGTTCTGTAATATACTTGTATCACTTGTAGGTCTTCATTGGTTAACTACGAAACAGTTCATCTTAGCGTATAGTTAAATGAGTTTTCCGGACATTTAAACACTCGGTTTAACTGGTTCATCGGTCACCATAGAGTAACAATTACCAAACCTAAAATCCTTCCAAGTCTGTCAACTGAGTCCACAGTGTAACCATCAGCAGTTTGACTCGGGATTTCAGTGTAGTGTGTTTGAAATAACACTACAGGATAAAGCCGATAAGCTTCTGTGTTTGTAAGCACTCACCGACAAGGTATATGGGAACTGGTACTTTTTATGAGCGACATCTATGGCACTTAGCATAGCAGTCAGAAACGGTAGTAATAATTTATTCAGCGGTAAACCAACCTGCTATAGACCTAAATTAGATTACAGTAATGATGAATAGTGGCTAGCAATAACACTAAATTAGACTACTTGAATTATTATTATTATTATTATTATTATTATTATTACTATTATTATTATTATTATTTGTCTCTTGGGTTCCCAGTGGAACATAGGGCTTCAGTAGCACATCTCCATTACACTCTGTTCTCTGCAGTCTTTGAACCTCACTCCACGACTGCTTTCATTTCTTCCTCACATGATCTCCTCCATGTCACCCTCGGACGTCCAACTCTTCTTTTCTCCTTTGGATTCCACTTGAGGGCCTGGCCTGGCGCGTGATGTTCCCAGTCTGTCTTCTCAGTGTATGCCCAGTCTGTCTCCACTTCCTTCTACATATTTCTTGGATGATGGGTTGTTGGTTGGTTCGTTCCTAGAGTTCCTTGTTGCTTATTTTTTCTGGCCATCTGATGTTATCTTCAGTATCGAGTGAGCGTAGGCGGCATCTGTGGATGATTTACGTCTGTAGTTTGCTGCAAATGCTTTTTGTGACGTACCAAGTCTCTCAACAACCACATAGAAGCACTGACTTGCTTGACATTGGTGTTGGAAAGCCGAATATTGTTCTTCATGCTGAGTGCAGAGGATCTCCACGCTGATTTCAGAGTAGTGAAAGCCTGTCTTGCTTTCCCGATCCTGGCTTTGACGTCCTCATCTGTGCCGCCTGTAGTTGAAACGATGCTGACTAGGTGGTAGGTGAAAGAGACCACTTCCTTTAGATTTTTCCGCGTTGATGGTGATTGATGCTTGTTGTTGATGCTGTTGTTGGTAGGGTATCTTCATTACCTCCGTGTTCCCTACGTTAACTTGAAGTCCCGTCTTCGCTGCTTTTTCTGTCAACTTGTTGGTTTTCGCCTGCAGAACTTGAAGTTTGTGTGACATTAGACACAAGTCATCAGCGGAATCCAAATCTTCATGGATATTTTCCCCGGTCCAGCGAATGCCCCTCTTCTCGCTCCTCACAGTTTGTTGCTTGATACAGTCCACCACAATCAGGAAGATCATGGGTGACAGTAGGCGGCAACCTTGTCTTGTTCCTGTCTTCACTTTAAAGATACCCCTCAGTTTTCCATGATCAGTCACTTGACATGTAGCATCATATAGCATATAGCTGCTGTTGAATGAGGTTGATAAAGGTTTGTGGAACTAAAACCGTAGTGTTGAAGCAGCTTCCAGTTTACTTCACGGTCGACGCCTCGGTCAAAAGCCTTTCCAAAGTCAATGAAGTTGAGGTAGAGAGTTGACTACCACTCAATGCTCTGCTCTATCATGATGCGTAGTGTTGCAATTTGGTCCACACATGATTTGTACTTCCTGAATCCATGTTCCGGTCGTAATTTTGAATCCAGCACATCCTTTAGTCTCTCCAGGATGATGCGGCTTAATATTTTGTTTGGACTGAACAGCAGCATGATTCCGTGCCACTTCTTGCAAAGACTTAGGTCTCCCTTCTTTGAGAGTATGACAAGGTAGCCCTTCTTCCAATCGGCAGCCACCTTTTCTTCCTTTCAAATCTTCTGAAGTAGTGGTGTGGAAGTGTCCGCAGATGTCTCTGCGTCTGTTCTCAGTGCTTTTGGAGGAATTCCATCTGGTCCTGCTGCTTCGCCGGATCTCAGCAACTGTATGGCGTCCAGGACTTCACTTCTTCTTGTCGGAGTACTTGTGTTCACTGGTAGTTCTGTGGCTGCTGGTGGTATTTCTGGTCGAAGTGAAGGTGGTGGTCGATTCAAGAGTATTTTGAAGTGGTCACCCCATCGTTTCCTTTGTTTCTCTTCTTTGATAAGTATATTCCCTTCATCATCTTTTATTGGTTTCATCTATGTTGATCTCTTCCCTCCCAGATAGTAATCTGGTTATTTGATCTAGTGTTGTCAGTTCTCTGTATCTCTCACCTGCAGCCTGTTCTGCTTCACTTGCCAGTGTGTCGTAGAAGTGTCTTTTTTCTTTGTGCAGTAGATCTCCACACTGATTTCACAGTAGTGAAAGCCTGTCTTCCTTTTCCGATCCTGGTTTTGACATCCTCGTCTCTGCCACCGCTTATAGTTGAAACTATGCTGTCCTGCCTAGGTAGGTGAAGGAGACAACTTCCTTTAGATTTCTCCCGTTTAATGATGATTGGTGCTTGTTGTTGATGCTGTTGTTGGTTGGGTATCTTCATCACCTCCGTCTTCTCTGCGTTCACTTGAAGTCCCGTCTTTGCTGCCTCACCTATCCCGTCAACTTGTTGGTTTTCGCCTGCAGATCTTCGAGTTTGTGCTACTAGACATGAGACATAAATCCTCATCGGTGAAATGCAAATCTTCTTCTGGGGTCTTTTCATCGGTCCAGCCAGCGTATGCCCCTCTTCTCGCTCCTCACAGTTTGCTGCATGATCCAGTCGACCACAGTCAGAAGGTCATCGGTAATAGTAGGCAGCCTTGTCTTACTCCTGTCTTCACTTCACTTCAAAGGCGTCACTGAGCTTTCCATTGTGAATCAATCACTTGGCATGTGGCTTCGTCATATAGTTGTTGAATGAGGCTGATAAAGGTTTATGACACTAAAATCTTAGTGTTGAAGCAGCTGCCTGCCAAATTACTTCTCGGTCGACGCTGTCGGAGGCCTTCTCAAAGTCGATGAAGTTGAGATACAGAGTTGACTGCCATTGTACGCTCTGTTTGATGATGATGCGTAGCGTTGCGTGGCGTTGCAATTTGGTCCACACATGATTTGTACTTCCTGAATCCAGCTAGCATGTTCCGGTAGTAATTTTGAATCCAGCGCATCCTTTAGTCTCTCCAGAATGATGCAGCTTATTATTTTGCTTGGGGTGGACAGCAGTATGATTCCGCACCAGTTCTTGCAAAGACTTATGTCTCCCTTGTTTGGGAGTTTGACAAGGTAGGCCTTCTTCCAATCAATCTACAGGTACCTTTCCTTCCTTCCAAACTATCTTCAGTAGTGGTGTGAGCATGTCGGCTGCTAATGTCTCTGCGTCTGTTTTCAGTGGTTCTGGAGGAATTCCATCTGGTCCTGTTGCTTTCCCGGATTTCAGCAGTTTTATGGCATTCAGGAATTCTACTTTTGTCGGAGGACTTGTTTTCAGTGGTAATTCAACGAGTCACAGGTGGTGGTGGTGGTGGTGGTCGATTCAAGAGTTTTTTGAAGTGGTCAGTCCATTGTTTCCTTTGTTTCTCCTCTTTGGTAACTAGTTTTCCTTCGCTATCCTTCTTTGGTTTCATCTGTGTTGATCTCCTCCCAGACGGTAAGTAGTAACCTGGTTATTTGATATGGTGTTGTCAGGTCTCTCCTACCAGCCGGCAGCCTGTTCTGCTTCACTTGCCAATGTGTGGTAGAGGTGTTTTTTGTTTGTGCGCACTCTTCTCCTCTGCTTTGTCCAGTTTAGTGTTTTTTAAGTTGTATTCAGTCCCTCTTTTGGTTGTTCATCCATGCACTGTACTGTACTGCACTGGTTCATCTTCTCCTTCATCGTCTTTCTCTCCTCTATCAGCTCTCACATGTCCGTGGATATTCGTTCCTTGTTTTGTTTATTCTTCCTTCCTAACACGGTTATACAGGTTTCCTTCTACATCTGTTTCAAAGAGTTCCAGTGTTCCTTCACGCAGGTTTCCTCCAAGAATTCGCCTTATGTCTCCTATTTTTTCCTGATAGCTGACATGAAGATGTTCTTCGTAGTTGCGTCCTTCAGTTCAGTTTCTGTTCTGGGTGTTGAATGTGAACTGTGATCTATCGCTAGCTTCTTTGAAGGCTTTCAACTTGATTTTGGAGGTTCCTAATTTTGCACTAGATAGTGGGTGGTGTGAACCTAACTCTGCTCCCCTTCTTGATCTTGTGTCCAGTAGGCTACGTCTCCGTCCCCACTTTCTTGAGATTGAGGTGAAGTCGATCTGATTTTTAGTGTGTCCTGGTGTCTGGTGAAATCCATGTCGCTTTGTGAATATCTTTGTGTTTGTATACACTGCCTCACCTCCAATCACCAAATCATTGAATGCATAGAAGTCTGCGAACAGTTCTCCATTCTCACTCATCATTTCACCAAGTGATTCTCAACTCATGATTGGTTCTCTTCCTGTGTTGTCTGCCCCCAGTTTGGCTGGCATCCATGTCACCCCACTTGTTAGAATATTGATGTCACCATCTGGGATGGGGTCTTGTCCATTACTGATTGTAGTTGTCTGTAGAATTCCTCCTTCTCCTCTTGATCTGCATTATTTGTAGGTACGTGGCGTAGTATTGTATGATTGTGACTTTCCTTCCTTTCGAGTTGGATCTTGCTGACATGATCCTGGTCGTGGAGGAGATTGGTTCCCACTGCATGAGAGAGAGCCTTTGATGTTGTTAGGGACATGATGATAAGCACTCCCGAACTCAGTGTGCTCGTCCGTGGTTGTCGTCTTGGTGACAATATGGGAGTAGATTATTGACCCTCCAGTTGACAGTTGAGAGAGTCCACTTCCATTCGATCTGCTTTCGCAGAGTCCTAGCACTTCTATGCTATACCTCCTCATCTCTTTTGCAATTTTGGCAGCCTTAGTAGGTTCGTACATGATGCGGACATCCCATGCCCCCATCCTTACTTGAGCTTTCACTGAGAGAAGAGAAGACATATAGGCCAATTGACTTCCCGAAGGCTTTCACCAATCGGCGTCATTTCATCTGACCGATTCCAGCGAGGAATAAGTTTGTTTTTAATTTTTATATTTTGTCTGTGCTTTAAAGTTTCCATAGCGGTTGGATTGGTTTTACGGTACAGGGCTACTAGCCCTATGCCCAACCTTCCCTCTTTACCTGGGTATTGGACCGGCTGGTAACTAGTGAACTAGTTAATCAGGCGAGGTATGTGAAAATTAACTATTATGTTTATTTATCGTGTTGACAGAACTCTTGACAGTTTTAAAAAACAATCCGCAGACATTGTATGATATTATTTGACTACTTATATAAATCACACGTATGTCTGTTTGACCTAACAAATTTTAAATCTTCGTTTTTTTTTGAAAGGTTATCTACAATTTTGCTTACGATGAAAATGGTTTGACAGAAATATCAGTCGAATTATTCTTTTCAACCATAATGACCGAAGCATTCGATCAGTTCCACACAATACAATTTATCGAAGTAAGTTATCACTCGGTGATTTGAAATGAAAGCAGTGTAAATGGAATGACTAATAAAGTCAGTAAACTAATCACAGAAGCTGTATGATGTTCTAGTGACTGATATAAAAGGTGTCCAGTTATTAAATATTTATCATTTGATTGTCTGAGATAACCGTAGTTTGGCAGACTAGTATTTATACTGGGTGATGATTGAAGGTGAGATGATTATCTGGACCGCGGCAGGATTCAGACCAGCGACCACCGGGTTACCGGCCCGGTGCTCTACCAACTGAGCTATGAGGTCGCGAATTCACATGGTAGTGAGGCAAAACCCTTGGTGATTAAAGCGAGATTAAATTCTGGTTAAAAGTCGGATATTGTAGCGCAGTTGGTAGAGTGCCGGGTCAGTAACCAGGTGGTCCCTGGTTCGAATCAGGCCGTGGTTCAGATTTTCAACCCATCTTCAATCATCGCCCAGTATTAAATATTGGTCAATAGGAATGCATAAGAATTTAACATTGTCTGAAGCAATACAATGCTAATCTTATTGTGTGAATAAATTAACGAAGGTTCTGGAAAGATTCCATGGCTGAAAAAAGCTGAACATCTTAAGAGCTGTCACGAATAACTCATCAGGGTAGCGCAATAAGAAACAGAAGTAAGAAAGCAATGTGGTCATTATTTCTCTGGTAAAACAGAAAGCGACTACACTTGTGCCCTTATAATTAATCACGAGATATATTCCTAAACATCTGAAGGGTATGTATTGTTCTTCACAAAACTCATCATGTTGTTATATCAAGCCTCATCAACAGCTTTTTTAGTTGTTGAGTTTTGGATTCAGCATCACACAAGGGTTTGACAGGCGTTACTGATAACAGTTTATCTTTAAAAAATAATAATGCCCCTCTAGATTGAGATGCACGCCCAACAAATGCAGTGTAATCTTCGTCTGTCCACCAACCATTCTCTTTTATGATGGCTTGGTCAGGCCATCCACGAGGCTTGTGTTTTATAAACTTCTGTATATCTTTACTAAATCCACTATTCATGCAGTTTATAAGTTACATAGATGTTATGTTAGCTGAGATTATGAGCATATTATTAGGATTGGGTTTGACCGTATCAATTGGAAACATTTTTAAAGACACACGATTACACTGTTACCAGTTCCAACAAAACTTTGTAAAATAACTGATTTATAGTACAAAAGCTCATCCCTGAGTTTATTGACTGGCTGTTAATCCCCAGAGTACGCTTAACTAATTATTTAAAAGTTAGATGTTAGCTGTTTTACTTTGATCACACATTTGCATGTAGTTGAGCGTGTTATTAAATGTCCTTTATTCTGGTTTTCCAGTGTGAATACCTCGCCTGGTTAACTAGTTTACTAGCCGGTCCTAAGCCCGGGTAAAGAGGGAAGGTTGGGCATATGGCTAGCAACCCTACCCCGTAAAACAAATCTAACCGCTAAAGAAACTTCAAAGCACAAACAAAATATAAAAAGTGAAAATAAACTTATTCCCCGCTGGAATCGGAGAGGCGAAATGACGCCAGTTGGTGAAAGCCTTCGGGAAGCCAATTGGCCGATGTGTCTTCTCTTCCTCGATGAAAGCGAAAGTAAACGTGGGGACATGGAATGTCCGCACGATGTTTGAACCCAGTAAGGCAGCCCAGATTGCAAAGGAGATGAGAAGGTATCACATCGAAGTGCTTGGGATTTGCGAAAGCAGATGGAATGGGAGTGGACTCTCCAAACTTCAACTAAAAAGGAGAATCAATAATCTACTCCAAAAAGGTCACCCAGACGCCAACCACGAGCACACTGAGAAAAGGAGTGGCTATCATGATGTCCTCAAGAGCATCGAAGGCTCTCATGCAGTGGGAACCAATCTCCTCCAAAAAAAGGATCATGACAGCAAGATTCAACTCAAAAGGAAGAAAGGTCACAATCATACAATGTTATGAAAAACACCTACAAATAATGCAGAGCAAGAGAAAAAGGAGGATTTCTACAGACAACTTCAATCAACACTGGACAAGACGTCAGTTGGCGATATCAAAATTCTAATGGGCGACATGAATGCCAAACTGGGAGGGGACAACACAGGAAAAGAACTAACCATGGGTCGAGAAGCGCTCGGTGAGATGAATGAGAATGGAGAATTGTTTGCAGAATTCTGCGCATTCAACGATTTGGTGATTGGAGGCAGTGTGTTCAAGCACAAAGATATCCACAAAGCGACATGGATTTCACCAGATGGACACACTAAAAATCAAATCGACTTTATCTCAATCTCAAGAAAATGGAGACGCAGTCTACTTAACACAAGGTCAAGAAGAGGAGCAGATGTAGGTTCAGACCACTATCTAGTGCAAGGAAAAAACCTTCCAAATCAAGTTAAAAGCCTTCAAGGAAGCTGGTGATAGACCTCAACTCAAGTACAACACTCGGAAACTGAAGGATGAAACTACAAAGGAGATCTTCAAGGCAGCCATCAAGACAAAATGGGAGATATCGAGCAACATCCCTGAAGAAACCTGTGTGGAAGAACACTGGAAGTCTTTGAAAGCTATGTGGAAAGAAACCTGCACAACAGTATTAGGAAGGAAGAAGAAAGAAGACAAGGAATGGATCTCGACGGATACCTGGAAGCTGATAGAGGAGAGGAGGATGGTGAAGCAGAAGATAAACCAGTGCAAGGATGCTCAACGACAAGAGGAACTGAGCACAATGTATAAAACACTGGACAAAGAAGTGAAGAAGAGTGCACGCAAAGACAAAAGACACTTCTACGAAACACTGGCAAGTGAAGCAGAACAGGCTGCAGGTAAGAGAGACCTGACGACATTGTATCAAATAACCAGGTTGCTATCAGGGAAGAGACCAACACAGATGAAACCAATAAAAGATGAAGAAGGAAATTTAATTACAAAAGAAGAGAAACAGAGGAAACGATGGGCCGACCACTTCAAGAAGCTCTTGAATCGACCACCACCACCACCTGCACTTCGTCCAGAAATACCACCTGCAGCCGCTGAACTACAAGTGAACATTAATCCCCCAACGAAAATGGAAGTCCTGAACGCCATAAAGCTACTGAAATGCGGGAAAGCAGCAGGACCAGATGGAATACCGCCAGAAGCACTGAGAACAGATGCAGAGACAACAGCGGACATGCTCACACCACTATTGCAGAAGGTGTGGAAGGAAGAGAAGGTACCTGGCTAGTGATTGGAAGAAGGGTTACCTTGTCAAACTGCCGAAGAAAAAAGGGAGACCTCAGTGCTTGCAAGAACTGGCGAGGAATCACTCTCCTGTCCACCAAAATCAAGTAAAATATTAAGCCGCATCATCCTAGAGAGGCTTAAAGACGCACTGGATTCAAAACTACGACCGGAACAGGCAGGCTTCAGGAAGTACAAATCATGTGCAGACCAAATTGCAACGCTTCGTATCATCATAGAACAGAGCATAGAATGGCAATCAGCTCTCTACCTCAACTTCATCGACTTTGAGAAGGCCTTTGACAGCGTCGACCGAGAAGTAATTTGGAAACTGCTTCAATACTACGGAGTACCGCAAACCTTTATCCGCCTCATTCAACAACTATATGAAGATGCCACATGCCAAGTAATCCACAATGGGAAGCTCAGTGATGCCTTTGAAGTGAAGACAGGAGTGAAACAAGGTTGCCTACTATCCCCCATGATATTCCTTATTGTGGTGACTGGACTGGATCATGCAGCAAACAGTAGGCAGCGAGAAGAGGGGGATACACTGGACGACGGAAAAGAACCTAGAAGACTTGGATTTCGCCGATGACTTATGCCTAATGTCACACAAACTTGAAGATCTGCAGGCAAAAACTAACAAGTTGATAGAAGAGGCGAGGCAGCGAAGACGGGACTTCAGGTGAATATAGAGAAGACAGAAGTGATGAAGATACCGCACCACCACCATCAACAACAACAAACTCCAATCACCGTCAACGGGAGAAACTTGAAGGAAGTAACCTCCTTCACTTATCTAGGAAGCACTGTTTCAACTACAGGCGGGACGGACGAGGACGTCAAAGTCAGAATCGGAAAAGCAAGACAGGCGTTCATTAGCCTGAAACCAGTGTGGAGATCTTCTGCACTCAGCATGCGGAACAAGATACGGATTTTCAACACCAACGTCAAGTCAGTGCTCTTGTATGGCTCAGAGACTTGGCGCGTCACGAAAGGTATTTCCAATAAACTACAGACATTCATCAACAACTGCTTACGCTGCTCGCTACTGAAGATCAGATGGCCAGAATAATAAATAAGCAACAAGGAACTCTGGGAACGAACCAACCAAGAACCTATCACGCAACAAATATGCAGGAAGAAGTGGAGATGGATTGGGCATGCACTGAGAAGGCCGACGGAGGACATCACGCGTCAGGCCCTCGAGTGGAATCCCCATGGGAAGCGACGAGTTGGACGTCCAGGGATGACATGGAGGAGGTCGTGCGAGCAGGAAATGAGAGCTTCTGGGCTGTCGTGGGACCAGGTTCAAAAGATCTCAGAGAACAGAGGTCACTGGAGGCGTGCTACTGAAGCCCTATGTTCCACTAGGAACCCAAGGGACTAATAATAATAATAATAATAATAATAATAATAGTGTGAATACTGTTAGATATATACGGTCATTGAACTTTCAGTTTGATCTTCATAATTCTTTTGGTTTGAAACCATAGAATAGTCACCCATTAATCCTAGTAAGTCAACCTGAACAATAGGTACGCACTAAACTATCAATTTGACCACCACCCTGGTGTGGAGTTAACCTCTATATAATGACAATTTTAGCCCTCATACTAACCCTACGGTTGCAAGAAAGGTGGTTTTTAGCACATACACTTTATTAGGTACAGTCTTCGACAAACAATGTTAAAATGATGAGTTACGGACAAAACTCTGTTCAGTTCCCTCCAATCAATGAATAGTAAAGCCAACAAACACAGGATTGGAGAATTCACTAAACTAGTTGGAGAAGTATCTAACGATGCTTTCTGGTTTGAAAATAAAGCGTCTACCGAACCTTTTGGTTCATGGAACGCCAAGTCACTGAACATAAAACCCTCACTCCATATAAGATTTGTTTATTTAATCCATAACACAGTGATACAGTATTATTTACTTGATGATGTTTCGAGCATAAATGATTATTGCTCATAATCATATCTGTTTAGCTAAATATAGAATGACAGCCCGAATAAGATCAATAGTCCAGAAAAAATCTTGGCTATTGCAATGGATGCATTAACACACAACCACACATTTGGGTTTATGCGATGAAACCTCTGTATTTATGTCCAATATAAATAAGTGGAGAGAGAGATTGAGTACTGAATCCTTGTGCATCGAATCAGCACCCAACACATGTAACAGTAATAGCACAACGTCTATACCAGAGATATGGAAACTTTTACTACCAATAAAAACAAATCATATGTGCTGACATAACTATAGAAATCAGATGTCGAAAGTAGTGTGATTACATTGAAATGATTATGAGCAATAATCATTTATGCTCGAAACGTCATGAAGTAAATAATACCAGATCACTGTGTATTATAAATCAAATAAACAAATCTAATATGGAATTAAATTCTACCACAGCTCCCAAGTTTTACACCTATAATAACATCCTCTACCAAACAACTGCTAAAATAAGTAAAATGTATACATATGAAAAGGCCATAGACCTAAATCTATTGTATAATCTAGTCAAGTTTCTTAATGTTCACGACCAAAATTTGAATTAGTTCATACCAGTTCACTGTGTTTTATTCACTAAAATGTTTTCACACGTCTTGCGCAGTACACTTAGTGCCTGTATTCTGTCGTAACTGTTCAAATGAAATTTTCATAAAATGACAGAAGTGAACAGTTTCGTGATGACTTTTCAGAACAGTTTATTTTAAGTGAAAGTACTGTTTTAAAACAACTTTACGGCTAGAAAAAACCGATACCCACTAACCAGTTATCAATCATCGTCTAAAATCAGAACGTTGATGATAATTGAGTTGCAATGGAAACCTCATCTGCAACAGAATTCAAATTAGAGACCCCCAGTATGTCATCTTGGAGCTCTATCAACTCACCCAACACGTTGAGCTGTTACATGGATCTTATGTTCTCTTCAGTCCCGGAAAGTTTTACTGGGACGTCATATGAATAAGAGTTAGCTGCACAGCCAGATCTTATTGAATGCCGAGTCGAAGTTAGTAAGTAAGGTACAGTGACTGATCGACTGTTGAATAGAATACCTGAACTAAGTGAAGTTTATATAAGAGTAAAACCTGGACACTGTAACAGTAGGTTATTTAATTTTTGTTAGTTTTGAAGTGCATCAGGCAGTGAAACATTGTTATTTGCCAAACTGCTTTTCGGACACAACTTAGTCTCTATATTCATTTGGAAGTAACTTCACAACTTTGAAACATAGGTAGGAAGGGACAAGCCGGCAGTCTTTAAAACTAACTACTTAGCTGACAGACAGACAGAAATCAATAACATAGTCCTTGGTTATCGAATCAACACCAAGTGCGTGCAGTAGGAACTGTACACCATCTTTTCCAGATATACTGGAAATTCTGCTCTCTATATTATGCGGAAAAAGAGAAAATTATAACCATATAAAGCATCCCTCAAAGTTGTGGTGTTACCTTAATGTGACTACAGACATAAGTTTTGTCGGAAACTTTGTTCAGTAGACAATACTGTTTCGCTATGTAATACGTATGATAAACCAACTAAAATGGAGTGACGGTAGTTGGTAAATTGATTTTAGTGAATTGCGATTGTGATTGAAGTTGACAGAAAGCTACGAAGGGCTGTGACTACATTCAAAATACTGTGTTGATATAAATTTTCTTCATAAACAGATAACTTATTATACGGAGCCCAAGTTCTGGGGAACTATGCTCCATCCCTGATTAGGTACTAGTTCATGGTATGAAATCACTCAAGATCACGACCATAAGACCTTAAAAGTAAGTGGTGCAGATTACGTGTCTAAATGACATCAGTCACTACCCGAGCAGCTCAGTATTCACGTCTCTAACTGCAGCACAGGATGACACGGGTCCGAACCACTGAGGGGACTTCAGCTCTCCCAAGGTTGCAGGTATACCTTACTGATGAAATCGAGCGAGCCTGAAAGATAGGTCTAGGACTTCTTGCCGATTGCGTCTAATCATATAATACATTACATATCAGTTTAATATGCTGTATTACCCAGTCTAAGAATATGAAGACACTTTGCTCACTCATTTCTAGGTAAGAGATGAGATTTACCTACCTCACCTTATGAATGCTACCTAGTGTGATTGATGCATACTTTAACATATTTCTAAGGCGCAAGTTATTTCTAATTTAGAATCAACTGGAACGAAAATATGTTTAATTAGGCATTAATTTCTAGCAATTATAGCAGTTACGGTGACTAATTAGAAAAACCAATATCTACGTTTAAAATCATCGTGTGACAATTTTGGTTAATTATATCTTCGTGATGATACAAAAAAGCAAATAGTTCACATTGTACATGACAACTGATTTTCATTCTGCCTCACAATGCATAAACTTTACATCAAATCGATTCATTCGTCTCAAACGTTCCCATTTTTACTGAATAAAACCTTGGTTGGTGATTAGGTACTCTAAAACTTTTATCTAATTCACTCAATAATCTATTAAAGCGTAATAATACTAAAGAAACAGAAATTAATTTGATGCTGTGGTTTTCAAATAAGCCGATTATGATGGTATTTGACAAATGATTCTAGCATGAGTCCCCTTTACAGTTCACTACACTTTAGACTATAAAAATACCGAAACCAAGAATCCTCCAATTTACAAGTAAACATGTGAATATCAAGTTACTACACCAAACGCTTGGCGATCAATACTTTACAGCTTACCTAAGCTCAAGGTTTAGGGTGATTTCTGATCAGTAACTTTTTTCAGGTTATAACCACCTATTTCAGCCAATTGCTTACTTCTTTATCTGAAATATGCGAAAATTCACCTTGTAAATAAGAACCAAAATAAATTCAGGAATGTAGTTGAATTTGAAGGTTATGAACTAATATCTGAGTTTGAATTCTTCAAACATCTTCGATCATATTCCATCTTGGTATGCTAGCGATCGACATGTTAACACATGAATGTAGAGCTTGATTCAGACTGGGGACCATAAATTTTTAAGGAGTTACAACATGTAACAAGTCTATATTTCATTATCCTTTATGTAATCTTAATAGCCTTCAAATATCTGACTTTGCATACGAATTGGTATTTAGCTTTTAGCTAATATGGTTGCCTAGTCTTTAGGAATCAACAATAGCCAAAGTTTATCCATCAGTTTTGAAATATGGTCAATATGTCAAGTGACTGAACACTGCGGTGCACTTTCTCCTGTGTCAGATACTGGAAGTCAATCCTGGTAAATTTTGTGATTTCAACACTTGTTGATGCAGTTTCGAATCACCAACGAAACACTGGTTACAGATATGCCTTGTTGATGGTCAGCAACGAGCGTGAAACCTAGGTATAAAGCGTCCTGAGATATAACAGCAAAATATTTGACTTACACAAGATTTCTGACAGAGTTGTATCAGCTCTTACTGGATTATGAACTTCATTCATTAGTAGGGATTATAAACTTACATTGTCGATAGAATACCTTTTTATTTTCATTACTTTGGGTAAACTGCCTTTTATTTTGTGTTTTACAGGGAGGCAGCTTGCCGAGTTCAGGCACCATAGTTCAACCATTAATCACTGATTATCACAGTGGCACTCCAGGTTACCAAAAACTCTATCCAATTCGAGCAGGTTATGTTCAAAGTAATGCCACCAGGTCGCAAATAATTATGTCACCATATCCAATAAATCCTTCAGCCTATCAAGATGAATATGGTGAGATAAGTTTTGGATGGTGGCCAATACCGAATACTGGTATTTGTGAGGTACAACCGAAGTTAACTGGTCAAATCAAAACGGTATTATTTGGACAGAATACCTTCAGTTCATGTGTACTTAGGTGATTTTGAATTTTATCTTGATCACTTCATATTTTAAATCCTTATTATTGTAATGTTCGCTAGTCGTATGATTTAAGGTGTTGACTGAAGGCAACAGCATTGAGACTGACCTGAAGTACCCCCTTTTTAGTATTAGGACATGCATGAATTACTCATATTAATGATATTGATGAATATGACAAAAAAGAGGTAAGAAAGAATGAAAAATACACAAAACCAGAATCGAAGCTTACTGCTGACATCCAGGTAACTATTTGTCACTTATTGTCTCTAGCCATCATTATGAAAATCTCGGCCTGTGACCACACTGCTCTCTAGATGAATCCAACAAGTAGTCTGGAATATCGTCTATTCATATTTTGTGCCAACTAAACTACACTGAAGCTGCAGATCAACTTCTGTCGCATTCAAAGGTTTGGGGTGATTGGAAGTGTGAAGCACTTACATCATCAGTTTCAGTTACAAAAACCTTCAAATATAAGGTCCATTTTTGCTCAGGCAAATAGATCAACGTAGAATTTTACACAAAAGTAGATCAGTTCAAGTTGCAACACTTCAAAATAAGACAAAAGGAATAATTAAGCAGGAGTAGAATAACATACCAGTAAAAAAAACTGAATGAGAAGAAAAACACAAAGATCACCATTCATGCATTGTCCAAGGCTTCAGAGTTGGTAAGCAGTGATTACATCAACCTCCTCTTTACTAGTTTCCAACCATATCACTAAGTATTTCCATACAATATTTTATATCCTGTTCGCACTAAACGGTGTAAAATTGCCTGACATGGCTGAGACCCACAGACAAAGACTTGATGAACTGATGCCCTCTCAGTTTACGCAGCCATTACTCAATGGTTTAGGCAGTCGATTGTCAACCAGTGGGTCCCCAGTGAGAATCCTATTGCAACAAAGTAGTATCATTAGACGACACATAAAAGGTCTGACCCACTTACTAGTGCACACAAATTCACGTAGTTGCTAAGACAGTTTAGTTTTTGAAAAAATTAAGACCGGCTGACACTGATCATCGGCGTATTTAGTGGCTTTTGATACATGCTGTGTAGAGAATTATTCTCGCTTACCGCGATGTACTATTCGGGAATTCTATAACAATCATCCACCTTGAATGGTTGCAATCACTGATTGTACCGGCCTTCAAGTAAGGAGAGAAGTCCTATGTTGTCAACTGCAGAGAAATCAGTCTGACGAACAGTCTTTCATATCAAATGGGCAATCTGGAAAGAAATTATACACAACATCAATGCTCAAGTTCTACTAATGGATTAATGACTAATAGCATTTTCATGAACTTAGGTTTCATCGTAGTCAGACATCTAAGTGAAGCACGACGACAGCAAAATCCGAGAAAACCAGACAGGCTTCAGACCTGGTCGTGGGTGCATCGACCAGATAATCACACCCCAACAGCTCCAGGAACACTTTACAACGCCCAGTACTGACTCTGTTTCTCAACCTGAAGACAACATCCCAATTCATCTATCCAGAGGTCTTATGACAATGTCTCTTACTAAAACGAGTCCCGATTAAGTACATCACTCTGTTGAAGGCTCTGTTTTCGAACGCTCATTAGCATGTACCAGCCTATGCTGAGGTATTAGGTGATCTGTATCCCCCGTGTGGTGTCCGTAAAGTACGTCAACTCTCTTCATTCTTACTTATCTTCACCATAGATGCACTCATGGAAGTTTCAACCTCATCATCTCACTGAAGGGATTGATTTTGTCACAAGAGAATCTTTCATAGATCTAGACTACATAGATGACATAATCCTGTTAGGTGAAGACTCTGAAAAGATGCAAAGTCTTCTGAGTACCAGAAAGAAGATGATGAACGAAACAATCACTGGAAAAGAGGGAACACTTATAACCTCGCAAACAGGCGGCTAGAACCTTGAGCAAAATGCATTGAGGCACAGTCCTGGTATCCCGAATAAGTTTAAATAGTTACCGGGTGTTACACTATCAGGTCCTTTTGCTTTGCAATGTTTCATGTTCGATGCAGCCTTCTGAACTTCAAGAATATTTGGAGGACCAATACCTACATATTATTCAGGTTTAGGCTGAATGTTGGGCCACTGTAGCATTTCTGAGGTGCAACTAAACTGTGCTTTAGTGTATTCTGCTAAACATTTTAGCCTCCTGTCCTGGGAGGTTATCAAAATTCCATCGTTTTCAGTGATTCTTCCACTGACCATCGTCTTCTTCCTGGAGGTATCTTTAATAAGTTTTCTCTAACCCTGATGCCTTCTCCCTAGCTTTTGTCACCCACCACTGCTCGCCGTCATTGCGAAGACTCTTCAGCTACCTGCGTGCAAGTTGTTTTCGCCCTTCATCGTGGTCAGAGTCAGCTGGAACCAGTCTTTTCGTATCAATCATTTTGGATGACGTCGTGGGAATCCAATGGCTTCTGCTAATCTTTGTGTGTAGGTTACCAAATGTTTTTACCACTGTTTCTACAGCAAGCATAACATCATGCCAGGTTTCTTTAAGATGAGCATTACTGTCACGTCCAGATAAATACTTAGGTAACTCTTCCCTAGGAACGTATTTGGTGTCTTCATTTACCAATCGATCACAGACAGACTTTACCACCGCATGTTTCTTGCAGCCAGTAAGGCGTAGACATATGAGAGTTCATACTAACGTGTGAGGTCTAAACTGGTACCCCAGAAAGAGCGGCAACCCTCCATCGATCCTATCCAATGATGGCTTACAGCAATATGATCCATTTGTCTTTATAGTTGGTTTGATGTCAGCGGATGCCATGTGAGACAGCGTTTCTCGTTCTGTCTAAAGTTGGTGCTGGTCAGAAACAAATGACTGTCGGAACACAATTGTGACAGATGATCACCAATGTCTGTTCGTTGGTATGAGATTCCGTAAATATCTCGAGATGCCTTTCCGATTGACTAAGCTTTCATACTCGAGCGTTATAGTCATCCGCCGTCTTAACTGCATCTGAACGTTTTGGATTCTGTGGCAAAATTGACAGCAGCTGATAGAATCTAACGTCTGGATCATGCTAACTGCAGTCGTTGCATGCGTAGGGGGAGATTGTGAGTAGGCATCGGTTGGTCTGGCGATCCTTCCTAATTCTTACAGATCCATTCAGTCGAACAGCACATAGACGGCTGTTAACTGGTATCCAGTCGAGAAGTGGACTTTCTGATCTACAACTCAATGCTAGGCCTACACCAGCGAGTCCATGAAAGCTAGCCATTAGGTAGGTCTCCGGATACTCTTCAGGGAAATTTTAAAGGTTCACTACTATGATCAGGTGAGTTCAATTTGATAACCACACTCGGGTCCTGTCTGTATACGTGTCTCTGAGACACAGTGTACATTGGTGTTTCGAGATCCCAGAGTTGTGACGAGCGATGCTTGCTGTTCGATTTGGCTTAAGTTTCCGACGTTGAGAGCTCTCAAACGACATTGGCGGTGAGGTCGTAGGAGGCTGTGAATGAGGTTGAATCGTTGGTAATGGTGACAGAATGAGAGGTTGGGTAAGGCGTAGGATGCCTAATGTTACTGTCAGGAGGCGAATGCAAGGAAGGAACAGAGTTGAGAACGATAGATTACGTTTGATTGGGTCTTGTGCACTACCAGAAGCATGCAGGTGGTTGGCGCTTCCCGCCTGCCCACACCGTAGAAAGCTAGTTCTTCTCAAGATACATGAAAGAGCTGTATGACAGCAGAGGCCATGAGAAATCTGCTTGTTGTCTGTCACACTCAGCCTTTTGCGGGTTGTTATTTTGAGGGGCTTTTTTCTAACACCGGACAGACAGAACCCATACCGCCGGCACTGGAAGACCGTAAGGCATGGAGGAGTGTGCTATTTTGGGAGTCAACCTTTTCAATCCCCCCTTTCCACAGAGAAGGCAGTATCAGTATGGTATTGCTGGTCATCCAAGAGAACCACCCTACTACTATCACACCCCATTCAGCTAGCAGCATTAAGATGTCAGCCTCAGCCGCCTATCATAGTGTAGTAATTTATACTATAACTGTGACTGGTTTTCGTCTTACTACCATCTAACAAGCGTTTGTGGTATGAAAGGATCTTGAAGGAACCAGTTTTCCACCGCCATAGCTCGTTGGGTCATTGTGATACGCAAACTCGAACACCACATCGAAGTAGCGGACATAAGTTGGGTCGCTGGTCAATACCTCGGTAGGGAAAGTGAGGTTAGACCTATGGCCTACTGGTTGAGAGTAAAATAAGTAAAGTTTTTCGCCACAGCTCTAGAGCGTTAGGGTAAAGCTTGAGTCATTTCGCTTCCTAAGCCATTTTATTGAGCGTGAAACAAAAATTGGTAGATATCTGAAGGTTACTTATTGACAGTCTCTACAACCAAAGCATAAATATTGATTAAGATGTTTAAAATGAATGCCATCAACTCTGATAGTAAAAATAATAATAATAACAGTTTGTCTTTAACATTTTGCATGGGCGATGGGTTTCACTTCCTGATGTGTCTATGTATTCTTAGGACCCTAGCCGCAGGACCCGACAGTTTACCACCTTAAGTTTTGTAGGCACTTACTAACTAAAGTGACGGAGGTACTAGGTAATGTTTGGGAGTCAGAGGTAGTGCCATCAGACTGGTCTACTTCTCTGGTCATCTCAGTCTATAAGAAGGAAGATTAATCTCTCTATGGTAATTATTGGGGAGTTAATTTGACTGATGTTGTGTCCAAGATCATAGGATTCATATTTATCCAGTGCCTAACTGGAGCTCGAAACCAGCAAACTCGAGTAAACCAGGCAGGTTCTAGATAAGGCTGGACGAGGGTGCATCGATCCCACTTGAACTTTTTGACAGGTTCTGGAACACAGGCATACCTACCGCCCAACAGCCGACACTTGCCATATTTCTTGACCTGAAGGCGGCATTCAACCCTGTCGATCATGATGTGTTGTGGTAGTATCTGACTGTGAATGGAGTACCGAGAAAGTATACAATGCTTATGAAAGCACTCTAATCGAACTCACAAAGCCGTATAAGGGCTGTAGTGTCCACTAGGGATGCCCATTTTACTTCTTCATAGACTCACTAATAGACATAACTTTAGGTACGTCTGACTTCACAGAGATTGATCTACTCCACTTTAGTTGACTTGGAGTATGCAGACGATATCGTCCTGCTGGATGAACATATACCTAAATATGTTCTAGTAGATACTGCGTAGTATGATACTTTAACACTATAAGTCGCGGTCTTGCTACTTTATGAAGGCCAAGAAAATGCTTACAAATGCTAAACCAGTCACCATTATCATGAGATCTGGCATGATTGTGCAATGCTACAACTAGACAGCTGGCACCAAGATTAAAAGTATAGAGACAAGGAGGAAAGAAGTTAAAAGTGGTAGGAATTCATCATATGAGAGGATAAGAGGAGAACAACAATAAAATTCGATATTACGATTACGATTAAGATAATGTATTAGTACTTGCGCTTTACTGAGAGTGATTCTGAACCATGCATCTAGAATCAACAACCACCGATTTCGGTTGTCATATGAACCACAACCAGGCAGTCTACATTTCCTTACACCCCTCAGATTAACAGTCAAAGACCTTAAAGATTGATCAAACCTTTTAGTCTGATTAGCCTTCACCTTTTCCTAGCTTTAACCTACTTCAGATAACATATCGTGAAGAGACAGCTAATGACAAGACAACCTTGGGGCGCTTCCCAGCTACCACAGTCGACGAAAGTTCACAGCATTATTAACTGACTAACCTCTTACCTAGCACATGACACCAAACTTTTATTTCCCTAACATGGTGGTTCTATGACACATGAAGTCAGTGGTGGTAGAAAACCTAGCTACTTTCCCCGTTCTTCACCTATAATGGCCGTGTTTCACAGCTTCATAGTAGAAGAGAATGAAATGTTGCATCATACACTCAACCTTTGAAAGTCAAATAGATATCGTAGCAATGCCATAAATGGCAAAAGCCAAGCAAGCTTTTTGTATTCATGCAGAGATTTTACCGAATAATGACCCACCAGAGCTAATCCGACTTCCCGTGTAAAGGACAACTGGATGTTAGTCATTAAGTCTAAGTCTAAGTCTATGCCTTCAACCGATATATATCTTTCATTATCGAAGAACTATTGCTTTGTCGTAAAAAATAACTCACTTCTTTGTTTGATTTTTCAGGTTGAATGCATTTGGTACAAATCTCGTAAATTGTACGCAACTGGAGACGGAAATTAAATCAGTATTAAATTTTGGTCAAATGCCGATTACACACGTTGGTGTTTGGGGTAACTCAGAATTGAGTCGCTTGGGTGATTGGATAAAATTAAGTGTACTCAATGAAGAAGTGGGTAATATCACTCTAAATAGCGGAACAAAATCATGGTAAGTAAATAATGAATAAGCTGACTACTTTACATGCTGCTATGTTATAAATGTGTGTCTAGTATAAATGGAGGTATGGACAAAACGTTTTAATTATGTTATTCCTCATTCTGTCTCTTCAATATTTGGATTAATATCACAAAAGTCTACATTTGTGTTTACGTATAGGTTGTAGGCAGCTGATGAAAACCCAATGAAATAAAAAGATTTCATCCCAGTTTGCCGACACAATCCTCATTTTTGAACTGAAACTTATATCCATCGATTTTAGCTTTCCTGGTATCCTTTTCGTCTGCTGCGAAATCATTCCATTTCTGTTCACCCCTTTTTGTGCTATGAGTCATGGTAATTCGAAATGATACACTTTTATAGGCTCTTACTTTTTGTTTGCTTGGTTCCAACTAACTAATAAAACATATTTTGTAAAAAATGATTATTCAGCTAGACGGATTAAAGATATGTTGCAGAAATAACCGCTTTGACAGATAAGATACTTACAAGATTAAGCACCTGCTTTTTTTAGCTGAAAACTATTTCATCAAAGTAAATAAATCAGCTCAGATATTTTGAACCAATTAGTTTTGTGCCCAAACTGTTTGTTACTTGTATCGTCAGATATGCGCATATTCTTTCTCTTTATTCAAGTTAAGAATGTACCAATTTTCTAGATGGCCACTTTGTGAGAAATATTTTGAATATTTTATCAAATCTTGTTCTCTTTTATCTTCTCTTAAGATTGAAAAGCGGTTTTATTTCGATAAAAAGCATTTTGAAACTGACAAGCACCTAATAACATTTGTGTACAGGACTGAGGATCAGAAAGTCCTACGTTATTGTTTTGAAGAGATTCTTTAGTATTATGCATAACTTATGTTATTCATGCTCTGTAACAGGCATTCCAGCCTTTGAATTAATGAGCTTTTTTCAGGTAACTGTTTCCAATTTTGACGCTAAATGGGTTTTTAGAGAAATTAGTGTAATATTGTCTGCTTCTGTCGCCGGCTAGAAAATTAATTCATAATAATCAACTTATTATGGATGTAGCTATGAGCCACACTTATTTCATGAGGATCTACAATACTTACTGAGTCTGAGGTAGCAGCAGCATTTTTGCATACAGCTCATAGCTTGGAAGCCGAATGATTCCGTGAATGAGCCACATTTTCCCGGTCACCTGTCGATATAGTGTAAGTTGCCAATATACATGTGGGCTATCGAACAAGAAATTTTAAATTTCATCCTTTATCATCAGCGCATTCCTCGTAAACAAAATAAGCAGTAAAATGATAAAACATTTATTTTTAGGCCAACTATGTAACACATACTGACGTGTTGATTAACAAACGTGTAGTTTTGGCGTTTTGAGACTGCTACAGAAAGTTGCTATCAGTAATTTTTGTTGACTTGTCTATTGTAATACTTGGATGTATTGTGATATCAGTTTCCAAGTAAAGGTAAGCACTAATGTTTCAGTGATTTCTAAATTCTTGAGGGACAGAAGAGTCAGATAATATGCGTTCTAGCAGCCTTTTTAGTTAGCGTAATTTGATTCCACCGGGTGTAATAGTTGTGGCTTGTCTTAATATATCATTCACCAACATAAATTTAAGCTTCTGTCAGGTTACTTCTTTGCTTGTGGCTTGCTAACACATCTTCTTCATGGAACCCATTAAAAACATGATTTTCGACCATTCACTGCTTTTAATGTTTGATAGCAACAACATATTTGGGAATGAGAAATAATCTGCTCTATTTTTGTGATTTTACTAAAAGTTGCAATGTTGACAGTTTTAATCATGTCAGTCGATAAAAAGACTGTTATATCTACTGTGAATGGAGCTGTGGCTGATTAGTCTGGGCGCTCAGCTATCGATCCATACGATAAAGCCTCGAACTCTGCTCTGTTTGCTTCAGTGTGGTCATTCAAATATTATCATCTACTTTCAAACGGCATATATGGATTACAAGCCACTGTAGGAATTTGTACTTGGCTGCTAAGTTATCATAAGATGAGGGAGCATAACGATCCTTTATTAGATCCTAAGAGCAGTCAAACGTTTTAATTAATAAAGAGTATTGAGATTTTTAAAATAGTACATTTGCACTGTCATCTTACTTTCATCGACTTTATGCTTACGCGAACTTGTGATAATTGGTGGTATCTCTTATTCTTCTTTTGATAAAATATACTCATCTTCTGTTACAAGGTCATGTCAGAATATTATAACTGGTCAAACAATAAACATTTTTTATGTCAGAAAAGGTACCGTGTACGATCCACAGAATTCTATTATTTCAGTACAGAAAATATTTAAACGGGGAGTTATTTCGTACCAAGTAAGCTTATTATTATTGCTGTTATTATTATTATTACTACCATTGTCATCACCGTTGTAGATTTTCTATACTGTATATTATACATATCACATATTTTCCCTACTTGGTTGCCTTGATTAAAACATTAATTCACTTCTAATTTGGTGATCCTCTATTCTTGTAATCAGGCGTGTTTTACCTCTCCCATTCGTTTAATTTCATTTAATGTCCAACATTTGTTAGAGCTACTTATTTACTTCTACCTTTTTACGGTGAAATGAACTGATTAATACTTAAGGAAGGCCGAATCTACTATAAGGACAAAAAGATATCACCATGGATTTTATCTTCACGTTCAAACAAAATGAGATCCTGTCATATATGATTACATCCTGCTAGATACTGGTAGTCACGGGGGATGGACCGAGTTTATCTGACATAGAATTTGAACTTCAAGAGGTCAGCACTTTATTTGACATATGTATTTTTGACCGAGAACTTCACTTTTAGTTACTACGAAACGACATTGGTGAGCCCTATACATCTCATCTAGGCTGCTCGTTGTGGACACTGTACAGTGAGCATAATATAATTACGTTATTTTTCTTTAGGCGAAATCGTGTATCGCTCTGGGTTAGATTATGAAATAGATTGAAAACTTGGCTGTTTCTTTATGAATCTAACAATCACTTACATTAGTGATTGCTAACCAAATATAAGCTCCCGAAACAATCAATGTCATTTCTGTCCTACGGTTCAAAATAAATCCATTTTTATGTGGTCTATCACTGTAATGTGTTTTGTGATGCCAAGTGGTAAGTTAACGGTTTGAAAATATAAGTCCACTATACCAGTACCTAACCACACCTGGTTAACTAGTTCACTAGTTACTAGCTGGCCCTAAGTCCGGATAAAGAGGGAGCTTGGGCATATAGCTAGCTAGCAACCCTACCCCAGAAAACCAATCCAATCAATCGCTAGAGAAACTTCAAAACACAGAGAAAATATAAAAAATAAAAACAAACTTATTCCTCACTGGAATCGGAGAGATGAAATGACACCGGTTGGTGAAAGCCTTCGGGAAGCCAGTCGGCCGATGTATCTTCTCTTCCTTGATGAATTATACTTTTTCGTGCAAATCAAATCATGTCCCAGTGGATTATTGCTTCACTTTTATATAACCACTTTGGAACTGTATTGATACTCTCCATTAAGTTCCACATAAGCATACTGACTCTTCATACGATACACACATTGAAAGCATCCCAATCAATGAGGTTGCGTAAATTTATGAACGAATTTTTATCTTAGTACATTGAAAATTCCTATTTAGACATTTAGAAAAAGACTGACTGCGAGAAAAAATGTTCCTTTTAAATAGGATTTTGTCTTTAGCTCCATACTAATATACAGTTTTACAATTCATGTCAAAATACCAGTCAAGTGGTGGCGGTGGGGTTGATTATCAATAATGAAAATGGTAACTTTGAAGAACCAAGATGAAAAATAATCCATCCAAATCATCTGATCAGGCATTACTGCGCAACGGTCCGAGTTGCCATAGCTCATATCAGTACATCAAGTAAAAAGGTAGTGGGGTGCAAAAGGAAGGTAAGGAAATTCAGTTAAAAGAAATATAAAGTACGAAAAGAGAGGAAGGAAGAATGAGAAAGTGGTGAGATTCAGTATAGTGTCGTTAAGATGAGGATGATGTGTGTATACATCTGCGCCACTGACATTGTAAAAATAATCCACAGGATTAATAATATAGGCTTAAAACTAGTAAACAGTTTATCTGTCACCCTACGAAGCGGGTAGTAAGAAGTCTCAAAGAAAAAAACAAGTTTTATTCAGAAAATATACTTCATAATTGTGTAACAAACTTTCTTTTTTTTCCATTTTTACTTTGCTTTTATAGTGCCAAGGTTATTCGTGTGTAGATGTTAACTGGAATCTTGAACAACAGTTTTTCCTCACTACGAATATTGTATTTCATGATATATCCGTTAGCTAAGATCAAGTCACTGAAAACAATTAAATTTGTTGGATCAAGTTTTTCTGATAATAATGATGATGGTATTAATAATAATGATACCAATTTACAAGAAAAGATCCTTTTTGTAGTCATAAATGAACTGTATCATGAGAATCTGAACAGTTGATAGGATGTGAGTTTTAGACATGGCATGAATAGAACTTTCGACGTAACCCTAGTTGTTATCTTCCGTGCCATTGTATGAGTTTCTAATGACAAGAAACTGCTGAAACCCATCAGCATTATGAGATTCAAATATTTATCCAGTCTAGCAAAAAGAAGAAAACTGTTTCTGCATGTCTGCATATATATATATATGAACGGCGAATTCTTTTTTGAGTATTACTTTTGTGTTTTGAATGTTATGTATCGAAAAATCGTTTAAAAAGAACCAAGAAAAGTCATCAGAAGTTGCTGCCCTCAATTGATCATGAGGTTTAAGCGTTAATGGTTGATATCAGGGATATGTACAGTTAGTTTATGAGTTTATATCAAAGTGACAACGTATACATGGCCAATCTTACGACGAGATTGACTCTTTTTTCAGCACACAGTTTTTTGTTAACTAGATTGGATACTAATGAAATCCCTTAAGTCAGTCCAGCAGAATGTGTTAGGCGAAAACACGATCACCAATCCAAGCATGGAAGTTGATTTTAAGTGCAGATGCATCCAACAGAATTAAGCAATTATCTGGGAATTAAATAGCATACAGTTTCGCTTTGATCACTGATAAAACTAGGGCACTGCCAATATGTCCGAAATTCTATCTCTTGTGTTAAGACTTAGCAAATGGTGTAGATTTCTAAACGCTCAACAGGTATCAGCATATAAAGTATTAAAGCAATAAACTGGAAGATGACGAAAAAAGGCTCAAAGAAGTAGAAATTATTAAAGAGGAAGGAAGAATGAGAAGAGATTAACTACAGCGGTTAAGATGAGGATAATGTGTATACAACTGCTCCAATGACATTAGTTTTGAGACATATCACCTAAGGTCTCAAACCACTAGCTCCTCTTGTCCCGAGGACCTCACTAAGCAAGTCTGCATCGGCCTACATGGCTCAAAACAACAGTCAACGACTTTAGGCACTGATGCCATGTTTCAGTCTGGCGGGTTCGAAGCCTTTTCCAGATCTGAAGTAAGAAACTAGGTGATACTGAAATTCAGCACAGTAACTAAAACGAAGACATTGTATGCATGCATCTGCGATATTGAGACCGACTCTCAGCCACAAACTATTAGTATCCAGCCACTGGTTCCCGGTATAACATGGGCACCGGCCCGAAAGTCGACATAACCTGACGCAAGTCAAAATAACAAGGCCCGATGCCGTGTATCAGTGTATCCAACTCGTACACCCTTCTAGTCAAAACAACCTTAAGCTAACATTGTGCAAAACAATAAACTCTGACAAACAGCGCGTTACACCCAGATCGGAATAGACAATCGCAACTCACGGCGACATCATATAGGATGTAAGTTAACGAAAGATGAGCGAGACTTTCGTATCCGCAATCATTTCATCAGTCACTCACCCACCATGGCAGATTCGACTCCCACGTAAGTGAAGTGATCAAAGCACTCAACAACTTCACTCCCTATCACTAGAATAGTTACCAACACAGACCACTCCCAGAGAAAAGATTTGGATTTCGGCGACGAGTGACGTATTCGAAACGCACTTGACTTGCCACTCAAAGTGTCCAGAAGACTCCGCATCTTTTCAGCGTCTTCACCTAACAGGATTATGTCATCTATGTAGTCTAGATCTATGAAAGATTCTCTTGTGACAAAATCAATCCCTTCAGTGAGATGATGAGGTTGAAACTTCCATGAGTGCATCTATGGTGAAGATAAGTAAGAATGAAGAGAGTTGACGTACTTTACGGACACCACACGGGGGATACAGATCACCTAATACCTCAGCATAGGCTGGTACATGCTAATGAGCGTTCGAAAACAGAGCCTTCAACAGAGTGATGTACTTAATCGGGACTCGTTTTAGTAAGAGACATTGTCATAAGACCTCTGGATAGATGAATTGGGATGTTGTCTTCAGGTTGAGAAACAGAGTCAGTACTGGGCGTTGTAAAGTGTTCCTGGAGCTGTTGGGGTGTGATTATCTGGTCGATACACCCACGACCAGGTCTGAAGGCTGTCTGGTTTTCTCGCGTCTGCTGTTCTTGGGCTCCACTCAGGCGTCTAATGATTATAGGACTTAAAATCCTAGACACTGTTCGTCGAACTGATTCCTCTGAGGTTGCCACGAGAGGAGTTCTCGCCTTTCTTGAAGAGTGGGATAATTAGTGACTGAAGCCAGTCAGAGAGGATCATATCTAATTCTCATCGGTAAGCTAGCACTTCAGTTAGTTTGCCAAAATAATCCCCGACCATCGTTCCTAAATACCTCCAGTACTAGTTTTTCTACTATTGCTGCTGTGTTTTTGTCGCAGGTTACTGACAGGTTTCTCAGCATCTGGAAGCTCTCTTCACCTTATACCGGTGTTCCATTAAGGATGGAAATGGAAATCGGACAAATGAAGAGTAACTGATAGCCAGATAAACTTTCTCTTGAACCGTTCTGCATATCTTTTCATTCTTCTTGTCTTCAAGTCAATGGCGACCCCACCGTTCAATGCTGTAGCTTTTCTACGTCCTTTGAGGTATGCTGTGAACCACACGGCCATTCTCTGAACAGGAGAAGTGACAATCGTCCACTGACGGTGTCCAACTATAACTAATTGCAGGGTGGTTTGTCTCTACCACTGTGTTGGGATTGGTGTACTTCACCGAAAATTTATGTCATTTGGTGTAAAGTGTGTGTAAGATCAATCAAGAACTCAGGAGCCTTCTGGTCATTCGTAAAATAGTCGATATGTCAAACACCTTGTGTGATGGCCAGAAATACTACCGGGACAATCAAATCAACGTAAGACCAGGCATTAGTGCGTAACATTCGCGTTGCCACACCTCATTTCACCACATCAACTAGTAATGCAATAAAATGGAAGATGAAAAAAGAAACAAACATCTGCCAAAAAGTAGAATGCAATAAGATGGAGGATGGAAGAATGCGAAGATGATGAAATTAAGTAAAGCGGTTAAGGTGAGAACAAAATATGTATATATCTGCACCACAGACATCGATTCTCATTCATATCACCAAGCGTCCCCAACCACTGGCTCCTCTTATCCCGCGGACCTCAACTGCCTAGTCTGCATCGCCCTACATGGCTCAAACCAGCAGTCAACTGCTGCATGCAGTGATGCCATGTTAGAGTCTGGCCGCCCCAAGTCTTCATCCTGCCTGAACCTACTTCAGCCAATATTGTGCGACGAGGCAGACGGTGGCTAGGCATACGTTAGACGTGTGCCAGTCACCTCGGTCGATGAAATACACGACGAAATACACCCCATGCTGCGAAGGTGACGGTAGTCAAACAACTGAAGCCTTCTCATGCATTCCACCTTCAGTGGCCATGTTTCACAGTCATACAGTAGAACAGAGTGGACTGCAGCATAGTACACTCGGCCACTAATAGACAATCGGATATCACGGCGGCACCACAGATGGCGTAAGTTGGCGAAAGCCAACCGAATCCCTTGTATCTGTGCAGAGGTTTTGTCAGCCACTGAGGCTGGTCCGACTTCCCAGGTAAGTGAGGTGTTCCACTCACTCAACCACTTTAGTCTGTATTGTTAGTTGAGGGAACGTTGAAGTTCAGTCCTGGACCAACGATCGGCACTTGGGTGACGAGAGACCCATCCCAAATATCCTCAAATTGGCACTAAGTGTCCAGAAGACTCTGCATCTTGTCAGCGTCTTTACCTACCAGGACAATTTCCTCTGCCTATTCTTCTAGGTCTAACGAAAATTCTACTGTGATTAGGTCAATCCCTGTGTTATTAGATGTTGAGAGGGTGACCTCCATAAGAACGTCTATAACAAAATTGAATAAGAATGAAGAGAGTGAGCATCCTTGATGGACACCACTCGATATCTCACCATAGGCTCTAACACGCCTACAAGTGTTCGAGTAAAGAGCCTTCAATAAGGTAACGCACTTACTCGGTACTCCTTTCAATGAGAGATATTGTCATAAGACTTCTCGATCGACGGAGTCGAATGCTGCCTTCAGGTCGAGAAATACAGCTATTGTCGGGCACCGGTAAGCGTGCCCGTGTTCCAGAACCCTCGAGGTCCTACCATACCAGAAAGGTCTGTTGGATAGTGGTTAGACGAAAGGCAGCTAGCGTTGTGGCGTAAATTACTACACTCTGACGGGAGTCTGAGGGGGAAGTCGTACTGCTGCTAGTTGGATGGAGTGTGACGGCAGTAAGGTGTTTCCCCCGGATGACCAGCAGTGCTATGCTGATGCTGCCTTCTCAGTGGAAGGGGAGGGGGTTAGAAAAGGTTGGCCCCCAAAATAACACACTTCACCATACCCCACGGTCTGCCTGGCCGGCGGTGTTGGTTCATTTGTAGTTTCTTTTCGACCATCCGGCCCCAAAACAACAAAAGTTCAAAACAAACATACGCAAAAGGCTGCGTGTGACAGGCCTCAAACAGATGTCCGATGGGCTTTGCGGTCACACAAATCTCTTTCAGATACCTTGAGAAGAAATAGCTTTTCACGGTGGGAAGTGTCAGCCGGGAAGTGTCAACCGCCCTCACAACTCTGTCAGCACTCAAGTTTCTTCAAACTGCTATTCACCTCCCTCATGATTACTTTGTAGTCTTCCTTCATGTCTCTCAATTAACGATACTATATCATCTTGAATTTCTCCTAGCTCTGCAGCCTTCGACAACAATCTGAATCCACAGAACAGCGTCCCTGGTCTCCTTAAACTACGCTCCAAATTACATATCGTGCCCTTCAATGCTCTCACCCCCCGTCAAATTGGTCAACAGGCTTCATTGGCCAAGACTCTAGCAGCTCGGACCATGGATGTGTGCTGTGTTTGTGAGACTTGCATACAGGACCCAAGTGCGGTTATTCACCTAACCTCTCCCGGGCAATCTGATGAGTCCTCAAAATTCGCCCTTCGAGTTTCCGGAGATTCGATAGCTAGCTGTCGTGGTCTTGCAGGTGTAGGCATAGCATTAATCACTAGGACAGAAAGCTCACTACTAGACTGGATCCCAGTTGATAGTCACCTCTGCGTTGTCCGGCTGAGTGAGAACTAAAAAGAATAGTGAGACTCGCCGTTGTCTCTTTGTAATTTCTGATTACGCACCCACTGATTGTAGTTCGGATGAAGTGAAGGACGAGTTCTACCGAAAACCGTCTAGTCTCCTTTCGAAAGCCAAACGTTCAGACGTGGTGGTTGTTGCGGGTGATTTCAATGCACAGGTAGGTGGGTAGACTGATTGAGAGAGGTAGGCACTTAGGTGGCACTTTCGGAATCCCGGTTGAACGGACTGATGACAGTGATCGCCTACTACAACTTTGGTCAGATAACCGCTTATTTTCAGGTGGCATAAATTTCAGACACAAAGAAAGACACTGTCTGATGTGGCGTCCACCGAGTTCAACTCAGTGATGGACACAGATAGACCACATTGGTATCACTCATGGCTGGAGAGGATGGTGGAAGACTGCCGCACCTTCTGGAGTACGTGTTTGAATAGAGACCACGCGTTGGTCCGAGTGCGTAAATGCCTGGGTGTCAATGGACGTAAGAAAAATTTGGCAACAAAACCACTAAGAGTGCAGCTCGACAACGAAAACATCAAAGCCGCGTTCAGTGAGAAGTTGAGTATGCGGTTATCGGAGCAGAACACTATCACTCACCCAGAAGAAACTTGGTGTCATCTCCAGTCTGCTGTAAAAACGGGGTTGAAGACCGTAGCCGACTCCGAAAGGGTGGCTAAAAACAATCAGTGGATATCAGCAGCTTCTTCCGAACTAATGGATGGACATGAACGCACCCCTGCCTCCAGGCTCTGAGTACAATGAAGAGAGAGCGCAACTTAAAAGTAGACTGAGAAAAAGTCTACGTAATGACCGTGAATAATAGTGGGCAGTGATGGCTAAAGAGATGGAAAAGGCAGCGGCGACTGGTAACCGTAGACAGTTACTTAGACTTATTAAGGAGTTTGGGGGTGGGTGAGTGAAAGGTCAGCTACGGTTAGTGAGACTATAGCGGAGAAGGATGGTTCTGCGATCCACTCGTAGTGAGGACGACTGGAACGATGGGAAGAACACTTCGAGGAACAGTTTAACTGGCCTCCATCCACCGTTGAGTTTCCTGCTATCCAGTCGGATCCTGAATGCAGCCTTGGGATATCCACCCCAACACTTGCAGGAGTCGAAAAAGCTGTAGGTGACTTGGAATGAGGAGGGGCAGGAGGACCAGACGGACTAACTCCTGAGGTACACAAGAATGGTGGTAGAGTGCTCTTAGTCAGGTTAGCCGGAGTGTTAACCAGTATATGGGAATCAAATACGATCCCCTCTGACTGGTCTAAATCACTGATTATTCCAGTCTCCAAGAAAGGCGAGAAGTCCTTTTGTGATAACCACAGAGGAATCAGCCTGAAGAAGATAGTGTCCAAGACACTATAATTCTTCGACGCCTGAGTGGAGCTAGGGAACACCAAGCCTGAGAAAACCAGGCTGGTAGGCTTTAGACCCGGCCGCGGGTGTATCGACCAAATATGCACACTACTCCAGGTTTCGGAACACAGGTACGCTTACCGACACCCGACAATAGCTGTATTTCTCGACCTGAAAACGGCATTCGACTCCGTTGGTCCAGAAGTCTTATGGCGATGTCTCTCACTGAAAGGCGTGACGAGTAAGCACATCAACTTATTGAAGGCTCTACTCGAACACTTGTGGGCGTGTTATAGAGTCCATGATGGGTTGTTCGTGGAGCTGGGCTCATCGATTGGTGTACTTCAAGGGTGCTCTCTTTCTCCGTTCTTACTCAATTTTATCATAGATATTCTTATGGATGTCTTCCTCTCGTCACCTGATTACACAGAAGTTGATTTGATCGCTGGAGAAATTTCGTTAGACCTAGAATATGCACATGACATAGCCCTGTTAGATGAAGACGCTGACAAAATGTAGAGTCTTCTGGACACTTTCAGTGGCAATTCGAAAATGTGTTGGATGCCTTTCTCACCACCCAAATGTAAATTGTTGCTCCGGGATTGGTTTTCAACTGTGCCCTACTGAGGCTGACAATAGAGTGTAGTGGTTGAGTTTGTCGACCACTTCACGTACCTGGGAATTAGAATCAGAGCAGCCCTGGTGGCTCAGTGACCGAAGAATTCTCTGCTTGAATACAAAAGACTTGGTTGGCTTTCGCCAACTTACGCCATCTGTGGTGCCGCCGTGATATCCGATTGTCTATTAGGGACCGAGTGTGCTGTGCCGCAGTCCACTCTGTTCTACTGTATGACTGTGAAACATGGCCACTGAATGTGGAATGCATGAGAAGGCTTCAGGTGCTTGACCAACGCTGCCTTCATGGTATAGACCGTATTCCGTGGTGTCACCACGTGAGTAACGCAGAAGTCAGGAGTAGAGTTTTAGGAAGAAGAGGTAAGTCGGTTGACGGGGTTGTGAACCTTCATCGACTGAGATGGTTGGAACACATGTAACGTATGCCTAGTTGCTGATTGCCTAGTCACACAATGTTGGCCGAAGTGGTTCAGACTGGAAAAAGGTCCAAGGCGACCAGACCAAAACATGGCACCAATGTATGAAGATTTTGACTGTTGGTTTGAGCCATGTGGGGTGATGAAGACTAACCGATTGGGATCCACGGGACAAGAGAAACCAGTAGTCGGAGACTCTATGGCTCAGAACCGATGTCAGTGTTGCAGATGTATACAGGCATCATCCTTATCTATACCGAATCTCAACATTTTCTCATTCTTTATTTCTCTTTTTAGTACTTTATATATCCTTTGACTGAACTTTCTTTTCTTCAAATTCAACTTCACTGTCTTTTTACTTGGTGTACTGATGTAGGCTGTGGCAACTCAGACCGTTACAGAGTAATGCCTGGTTTTCTCGCGTCTGCTGTTCTTGGGCCCCACTCAGGCATCTAATGAATATAGAACTTAAAATCCTAGACACCGTTCGTCGAACTGATTCCTCTGAGGTTGCCACGAGAGGAGTTCTCGCCTTTCTTGAAGAGTGGGATAATTAGTGACTGAAGCCAGTCAGAGGGAATCGTATCTGGCTGCCACATACTAGTTAACACTTCAATTAATGACTAAAATAACTCTACCACAGTCCTTATATACCTCAGGATCTAGTCCTATCTCGATATTGCAGGTAGGCTCTGACTCGATAGTGAGCAACGAAATAGTAGCTGGAGGCCAGTTGAACTGTCTTTCGAAGTGTTTCACCAATCATTCCAGCTATCTCCCTTGTGAGTGAATCACACACCTACCCTTGTCGCTTATGATCCTGTGAATTATTGGCTTCGTTGTCCCAGTTTCCGTGACAAGTCTAAATAGCCATCTACCTTTACCTATCATCGCTGCGTTTTCATCTTGTTGACCTTCGGTGCCCCCTACAGTTTGCTATCATTGATAGGCTTTTCGTCAGTCTACATTTGAATTGCATTTTCTTCCCACTGCTTAGATCTTGCAGGGCTGCGTTCACGTGTATTCATTAGTCGCAAAGAAGCTCTTGAACTCAAGGTACTCTTTCTAATCACCTTCTGAGATTTAGCTAGGGTCTTCAACGCTGCTTTATAAGACATTAGAGATGGTGTCCTGCACCGATAATTATCCAGACAGTTTCCTGATAGATGTAGCCCTAATATTCTCATCGTCGAGAAGCACTTGCAATGGTCTTGTTGTTGTGGTTTTTCTATATACAATGAGGTCCAAGCATGCACGTGCACGAACTGACATGCTGTTTGAACACGTGCTGTAGAAGGAGCTGTAGTCTTCCACCGACAAACTTCAACGATAACTGATAGTAATATGGTCTATCTGTGTCCACCGATGAGTTGAGCTCAGTGGACGACACATCGAACAATGTCTTTCTTTATGTCTGAAGTTCGTGCTGGCTAGAAATAAACGGTTGTCTGAGCACAGTTGTAGTAGGCGATCACCGTCATCTGTTCGTTCAGCTGGGATTTCGAAAGTGCTACCCACTTATATGACTTTCTGTCTGACTAGGCTACCCACATTGTGCATTGAAATCACTTGCAACAAGTAGTAGTTACCTATGACGTCAAGGCAATCAGTAGACTTGATTGAAATTAAGAAGTACAGCTAAAAGAAATATATTTCCATTGCTCACAGTTTGATACTGACGGAAAAAATGAAAATGGGGAAAACATACTGAAACATGATTTTCACATCAATTCACATGGGTTTTTGTTCTCAAACGAGAAAGTAATTGAGATCGTTCACGTGATAAACTATCACATACTTTTATCATTAGCTTCTCACTAGCTTGTAAAGCTGCTTTGATTCGTTTGTAACTGTCACTATTGTCCCACTCCGACACCGTCATCATTTCTCCTTCTTTTCCTCTTGTCTCAGACGTCAACTGTTTCTTTCCCAGTTGAATACAAACTTCTAGATCTGATTTCGCTTCATCCATTTTGCCCAAGTTATAATAAGCCTTAGCACGGCGAAATAACACTTTACATATGTCTTGAGAGGTAATCTGAAATCCATCACAGTAAAAATGAACTTTTTCGGGGAAAACAACTCCGCATTAGTTAGAACTCTTGGTCATCTGTGTAAGAAACAGATTTATTCTCACGAGAAGTAGATATAAGCTTGTGAACAATTTTGGACGCAGTATTCAAATGATCCAACCTTAAGCTGACATAAAGCAATATTTGAAAGTATGCTAGAAATGAGAAAGAGTTAAACGCATAAAATATTATTTCAACGAGTATTTAAATTCACATATCACTCTGAAAAAGGAAACGAGTTAATTGCTGAAAATGATTTGCAGATTAGTAAATAAACGATTGCAAACTCTACGATGAGCCAATAAATTCACAACTCATAGAAGTGCGTGTTATATTATGAGAACAATTCACTTTAGACTACACAGTGATTTAACTCCTTGTTCTAAAAAAAATCTAACCTGCACTGCCTTTCCTTGATGCTTATCACTACATTGCTCCAATCAGTGGAACAACGTGAGTAACAGTCATAACAGAGGGGTGAAAAAATGTAGAAGCTGATACAAACTAAAGGGGTTTAAATTATTACAGTTGCAACATCACAGGAAATTTATGAGAAAAATATATATAATGTTGTTTAAATGAATAAAAGTAAAACACAAAAGAACCTCGCCTAGTTAACTAGTTCACTAGTAAGCAGCCGGTCCTAAGTCCGGATAATGAGGGGAGCTTGGGCATAGGGCTAGCAACCCTACCTCAAAAAACCAATCTAATCAATCGCTAAAGAAACTTCAAAGCAAAAAGAAAATATAAAAAATAAAAACAAACTTATTCCTCGCTGGAATCAGCAAGACGAAATGACGCCAGTTGGAGAAGGCTTCGGGAAGCCAGTCGGCCGATGTGGCTTCTCTTCATTGATGAAAGCGAACGTAAACATGGGGAAATGGAATATCTCCAGAATGTTTGGAGTTGGTTGGCAAGGCTGTCCAGATTGCTAAATAGATGAGGAGGTATAGCACAGAAGTGCTAGGAATCTGCGAAAGCAGATCGAATGGAAGTGGACTCTCTCAACTGTCAACTGGAGGGTCAATAATCTACTCCCATATTGTCACCAAGACGACAACCACGGACGAGCACACTGAGTTCGGGAGTGCTTATCATCATGTCCCTAACAACATCAAAGGCTCTCTCTCATGCAGTGGGAACCAATCTCCTCCACGACCAGGATCATGTCAGCAAGATCCAACTCGAAAGGAAGGAAAGTCACAATCATACAATACTACGCCACGTACCTACAAATAATGCAGATCAAGAGGAGAAGGAGGAATTCTACAGACAACTACAATCAGTAATGGACAAGACCCCATCCCAGATGGTGACATCAATATTCTAACAAGTGGGGTGACATGGATGCCAGCCAAACTGGGGGCAGACAACACAGGAAGAGAACCAATCATGAGTTGAGAATCACTTGGTGAAATGATGAGTGAGAATGGAGAACTGTTCGCAGACTTCTATGCATTCAATGATTTGGTGATTGGAGGTAGTGTATACAAACACAAAGATATTCACAAAGCGACATGGATTTCACCAGACACCAGGACACACTAAAAATCAGATCGACTTCACCTCAATCTCAAGAAAGTGGGGACGGAGACGTAGCCTACTGGACACAAGATCAAGAAGGGGAGCAGAGTTAGGTTCACACCACCCACTATCTAGTGCAAAATTAGGAACCTCCAAAATCAAGTTGAAAGCCTTCAAAGAAGCTAGCGATAGATCACAGTTCACATTCAACACCCAGAACAGAAACTGAACTGAAGGACGCAACTACGAAGAACATCTTCATGTCAGCTATCAGGAAAAAATAGGAGACATAAGGCGAATTCTTGGAGGAAACCTGCGTGAAGGAACACTGGAACTCTTTGAAACAGATGTAGAAGGAAACCTGTATAACCGTGTTAGGAAGGAAGAATAAACAAAACAAGGAACGAATATCCACGGACATGTGAGAGCTGATAGAGGAGAGAAAGACGATGAAGGAGAAGATGAACCAGTGCAGTACAGTACAGTGCATGGATGAACAACCAAAAGAGGGACTGAATACAACTTAAAAAACACTAAACTGGACAAAGCAGAGGAGAAGAGTGCGCACAAACAAAAAACACCTCTACCACACATTGGCAAGTGAAGCAGAACAGGCTGCCGGCTGGTAGGAGAGACCTGACAACACCATATCAAATAACCAGGTTACTACTTACCGTCTGGGAGGAGATCAACACAGATGAAACCAAAGAAGGATAGCGAAGGAAAACTAGTTACCAAAGAGGAGAAACAAAGGAAACAATGGACTGACCACTTCAAAAAACTCTTGAATCGACCACCACCACCACCACCACCTGTGACTCGTTGAATTACCACTGAAAACAAGTCCTCCGACAAAAGTAGAATTCCTGAATGCCATAAAACTGCTGAAATCCGGGAAAGCAGCAGGACCAGATGGAATTCCTCCAGAACCACTGAAAACAGACGCAGAGACATTAGCAGCCGACATGCTCACACCACTACTGAAGATAGTTTGGAAGGAAGGAAAGGTACCTGTAGATTGATTGGAAGAAGGCCTACCTTGTCAAACTCCCAAACAAGGGAGACATAAGTCTTTGCAAGAACTGGTGCGGAATCATACTGCTGTCCACCCCAAGCAAAATAATAAGCTGCATCATTCTGGAGAGACTAAAGGATGCGCTGGATTCAAAATTACTACCGGAACATGCTAGCTGGATTCAGGAAGTACAAATCATGTGTGGACCAAATTGCAACGCCACGCAACGCTACGCATCATCATCAAACAGAGCGTACAATGGCAGTCAACTCTGTATCTCAACTTCATCGACTTTGAGAAGGCCTCCGACAGCGTCGACCGAGAAGTAATTTGGCAGGCAGCTGCTTCAACACTAAGATTTTAGTGTCATAAACCTTTATCAGCCTCATTCAACAACTATATGACGAAGCCACATGCCAAGTGATTGATTCACAATGGAAAGCTCAGTGACGCCTTTGAAGTGAAGTGAAGACAGGAGTAAGACAAGGCTGCCTACTATTACCGATGACCTTCTGACTGTGGTCGACTGGATCATGCAGCAAACTGTGAGGAGCGAGAAGAGGGGCATACGCTGGCTGGACCGATGAAAAGACCCCAGAAGAAGATTTGCATTTCACCGATGAGGATTTATGTCTCATGTCTAGTAACACAAACTCGAAGATCTGCAGGCGAAAACCAACAAGTTGACGGGATAGGTGAGGCAGCAAAGACGGGACTTCAAGTGAACGCAGAGAAGACGGAGGTGATGAAGATACCCAACCAACAACAGCATCAACAACAAGCACCAATCATCATTAAACGGGAGAAATCTAAAGGAAGTTGTCTCCTTCACCTACCTAGGCAGGACAGCATAGTTTCAACTATAAGCGGTGGCAGAGACGAGGATGTCAAAACCAGGATCGGAAAAGCAAGACAGGCTTTCACTACTGTGAAATCAGTGTGGAGATCTACTGCACTCCACTCAGCATAAAGAACAAGATCCGGATTTTCTTCATCAATGTCAAGTCAGTGCTGGTATATGGTTCAAAAACTTGGCCCTTCACGAAAAGTATTTTCAACAAACTATAGACATACATCAATAGCTGCCGCCTACGCTCACTCGATACTGAAGATAACATCAGATGGCCAGAAAAAATAAGCAACAAGGAACTCTAGGAACGAACCAACCAACAACCCATCATCCAAGAAATATGTAGAAGGAAGTGGAGACAGACTGGGCATACACTGAGAAGACAGACTGGGAACATCACGCGCCAGGCCAGGCCCTCAAGTGGAATCCAAAGGAGAAAAGAAGAGTTGGACGTCCGAGGGTGACATGGAGGAGATCATGTGAGGAAGAAATGAAAGCAGTCGTGGAGTGAGGTTCAAAAGACTGCAGAGAACAGAGTGGAATAGAGACGTGCTACTGAAGCCCTATGTTCCGCTAGGTTCCCAAGAGGAAAATAAAACTAGAATAAAAACACAAAAGCACAGAATAAACCCAATGAATTGCTTGAAATTTTGTAAATAGGTGATAGAAAAATTACGGTAGTACAACCTACTTCATACTGATTTACCAATAATGATATCTATGAGATTTGGAGCATTGGGTAAACTACAACAATTAACGACTTAAGATCTGGCATCATTGCAAAACAGTCCAATAGAACTCAATCACCGTCAACTTGACGTCAATATTCCATATCACAAGGACACAAGGATCTATGCTGATGCGCAATTATGTTCCCTCTTGGGCTACCATCCTATACAGGTGCATTACAGGGTGATAAGACAAAAATCAGCTAGCAATTGACGAATTATTGCAAAGACATGATAAGCCGATTTAAGGAGGAAATTTACTACTAGCAGAGTGACGTGATAGCAGTAAGCAGTTTCTCGTAAACGAGTTGTTATTACCGACAGCACCGCATTGTTGCCAAACTTTTCGTACGTCCATTGACACCCAGGCATTTACGCACTCGGACCAACGCGTGGTCTCTATTCAAACACGTACTCCAGAAGGTGCGGCAGTCTTCCACCATCCTCTCCAGCCATGAGTGATACCAATGTGGTCTATCTGTGTCCATCACTGAGTTGAACTCGGTGGACGCCACATCAGACAGTGTCTTTCTTTGTGTCTGAAATTTATGCCACCTGAAAATAAGCGGTTATCTGACCAAAGTTGTAGTAGGCGATCACTGTCATCAGTCCGTTCAACCGGGATTCCGAAAGTGCCACCTAAGTGCCTACCTCTCTCAATCAGTCTACCCACCTACCTGTGCATTGAAATCACCCGCAACAACCACCACGTCTGAACGTTTGGCTTTCGAAAGGAGACTAGACGGTTTTCGGTAGAACTCGTCCTTCACTTCATCCGAACTACAATCAGTGGGTGCGTAATCAGAAATTACAAAGAGACAACGGCGAGTCTCACTATTCTTTTTAGTTCTCACTCAGCCGGACAACGCAGAGGTGACTATCAACTGGGATCCAGTCTAGTAGTGAGCTTTCTGTCCTAGTGATTAATGCTATGCCTACACCTGCAAGACCACGACAGCTAGCTATCGAATCTCCGGAAACTCGAAGGGCGAATTTTGAGGACTCATCAGATTGCCCGGGAGAGGTTAGGTGAATAACCGCACTTGGGTCCTGTATGCAAGTCTCACAAACACAGCACACATCCATGGTCCGAGCTGCTAGAGTCTTGGCCAATGAAGCCTGTTGACCAATTTGACGGGGGGTGAGAGCATTGAAGGGCACGATATGTAATTTGGAGCGTAGTTTAAGGAGACCAGGGACGCTGTTCTGTGGATTCAGATTGTTGTCGAAGGCTGCAGAGCTAGGAGAAATTCAAGATGATATAGTATCGTTAATTGAGAGACATGAAGGAAGACTACAAAGTAATCATGAGGGAGGTGAATAGCAGTTTGAAGAAACTTGAGTGCTGACAGAGTTGTGAGGGCGGTTGACACTTCCCGGCTGACACTTCCCACCGTGAAAAGCTATTTCTTCTCAAGGTATCTGAAAGAGATTTGTGTGACCGCAAAGCCCATCGGACATCTGTTTGAGGCCTGTCACACGCAGCCTTTTGCGTATGTTTGTTTTGAACTTTTGTTGTTTTGGGGCCGGATGGTCGAAAAGAAACTACAAATGAACCAACACCGCCGGCCAGGCAGACCGTGGGGTATGGTGAAGTGTGTTATTTTGGGGGCCAACCTTTTCTAACCCCCTCCCCTTCCACTGAGAAGGCAGCATCAGCATAGCACTGCTGGTCATCCGGGGGAAACACCTTACTGCCGTCACACTCCATCCAACTAGCAGCAGTACGACTTCCCCCTCAGACTCCCGTCAGAGTGTAGTAATTTACGCCACAACGCTAGCTGCCTTTCGTCTAACCACTATCCAACAGACCTTTCTGGTATGGTAGGACCTCGAGGGTTCTGGAACACGGGCACGCTTACCGGTGCCCGACAATAGCTGTATTTCTCGACCTGAAGGCAGCATTCGACTCCGTCGATCGAGAAGTCTTATGACAATATCTCTCATTGAAAGGAGTACCGAGTAAGTGCGTTACCTTATTGAAGGCTCTTTACTCGAACACTTGTAGGCGTGTTAGAGCCTATGGTGAGATATCGAGTGGTGTCCATCAAGGATGCTCACTCTCTTCATTCTTATTCAATTTTGTTATAGACGTTCTTATGGAGGTCACCCTCTCAACATCTAATAACACAGGGATTGACCTAATCACAGTAGAATTTTCGTTAGACCTAGAAGAATAGGCAGAGGAAATTGTCCTGGTAGGTAAAGACGCTGACAAGATGCAGAGTCTTCTGGACACTTAGTGCCAATTTGAGGATATTTGGGATGGGTCTCTCGTCACCCAAGTGCCGATCGTTGGTCCAGGACTGAACTTCAACGTTCCCTCAACTAACAATACAGACTAAAGTGGTTGAGTGAGTGGAACACCTCACTTACCTGGGAAGTCGGACCAGCCTCAGTGGCTGACAAAACCTCTACACAGATACAAGGGATTCGGTTGGCTTTCGCCAACTTACGCCATCTGTGGTGCCGCCGTGATATCCGATTGTCTATTAGTGGCCGAGTGTACTATGCTGCAGTCCACTCTGTTCTACTGTATGACTGTGAAACATGGCCACTGAAGGTGGAATGCATGAGAAGGCTTCAGTTGTTTGACTACCGTCACCTTCGCAGCATGGGGTGTATTTCGTCGTGTATTTCATCGACCGAGGTGACTGGCACACGTCTAACGTATGCCTAGCCACCGTCTGCCTCGTCGCACAATATTGGCTGAAGTAGGTTCAGGCAGGATGAAGACTTGGGGCGGCCAGACTCTAACATGGCATCACTGCATGCAGCAGTTGACTGCTGGTTTGAGCCATGTAGGGCGATGCAGACTAGGCAGTTGAGGTCCGCGGGATAAGAGGAGCCAGTGGTTGGGGACGCTTGGTGATATGAATGAGAATCGATGTCTGTGGTGCAGATATATACATATTTTGTTCTCACCTTAACCGCTTTACTTAATTTCATCATCTTCGCATTCTTCCATCCTCCATCTTATTGCATTCTACTTTTTGGCAGATGTTTGTTTCTTTTTTCATCTTCCATTTTATTGCATTACTAGTTGATGTGGTGAAATGAGGTGTGGCAACGCGAATGTTACGCACTAATGCCTGGTCTTACGTTGATTTGATTGTCCCGGTAGTATTTCTGGCCATCACACAAGGTGTTTGACATATCGACTATTTTACGAATGACCAGAAGGCTCCTGAGTTCTTGATTGATCTTACACACACTTTACACCAAATGACATAAATTTTCGGTGAAGTACACCAATCCCAACACAGTGGTAGAGACAAACCACCCTGCAATTAGTTATAGTTGGACACCGTCAGTGGACGATTGTCACTTCTCCTGTTCAGAGAATGGCCGTGTGGTTCACAGCATACCTCAAAGGACGTAGAAAAGCTACAGCATTGAACGGTGGGGTCGCCATTGACTTGAAGACAAGAAGAATGAAAAGATATGCAGAACGGTTCAAGAGAAAGTTTATCTGGCTATCAGTTACTCTTCATTTGTCCGATTTCCATTTCCATCCTTAATGGAACACCGGTATAAGGTGAAGAGAGCTTCCAGATGCTGAGAAACCTGTCAGTAACCTGCGACAAAAACACAGCAGCAATAGTAGAAAAACTAGTACTGGAGGTATTTAGGAACGATGGTCGGGGATTATTTTGGCAAACTAACTGAAGTGCTAGCTTACCGATGAGAATTAGATATGATCCTCTCTGACTGGCTTCAGTCACTAATTATCCCACTCTTCAAGAAAGGCGAGAACTCCTCTCGTGGCAACCTCAGAGGAATCAGTTCGACGAACAGTGTCTAGGATTTTAAGTCCTATAATCATTAGACGCCTGAGTGGAGCCCAAGAACAGCAGACGCGAGAAAACCAGACAGCCTTCAGACCTGGTCGTGGGTATATCGACCAGATAATCACACCCCAACAGCTCCAGGAACACTTTACAACGCCCAGTACTGACTCTGTTTCTCAACCTGAAGACAACATCCCAATTCATCTATCCAGAGGTCTTATGACAATGTCTCTTACTAAAACGAGTCCCGATTAAGTACATCACTCTGTTGAAGGCTCTGTTTTCGAACGCTCATTAGCATGTACCAGCCTATGCTGAGGTATTAGGTGATCTGTATCCCCCGTGTGGTGTCCGTAAAGTACGTCAACTCTCTTCATTCTTACTTATCTTCACCATAGATGCACTCATGGAAGTTTCAACCTCATCATCTCACTGAAGGGATTGATTTTGTCACAAGAGAATCTTTCATAGATCTAGACTACATAGATGACATAATCCTGTTAGGTGAAGACGCTGAAAAGATGCGGAGTCTTCTGGACACTTTGAGTGGCAAGTCAAGTGCGTTTCGAATACGTCACTCGTCGCCGAAATCCAAATCTTTTCTCTGGGAGTGGTCTGTGTTGGTAACTATTCTAGTGATAGGGAGTGAAGTTGTTGAGTGCTTTGATCACTTCACTTACGTGGGAGTCGAATCTGCCATGGTGGGTGAGTGACTAACAAAATCTCTGCACGGTTACACAATTCAACAGTTACTACTTTGAGCGTTCTCAGATGCTTGTTAATTACTCATAAATCATAACAGAACTGGAATAAGTGGTTGAGGACGTGCTCGACAAGGCTCAAAATCAATTTTTGAATCAGGGTAGCATTCACCCTTTGTTCTACGATAAAACTTGGTGATAGTTTATTTCAAATATAAAGGCCTTCACCCGTAAACATTGATCAAGCAATTTAGTTAATGGTTCACTATAACATCGAAAATCTGGGGTGCGAACTTCCGATTATTTCAGTAGTGAATTTGTCCTGATAGATATATGTAAATTCATATCCACAGTTGAAGCTGACACAGGAAGCCGATTGAAATTTCACTACACTAGTTAGCAAGCCGGGGTTGAGGTAAACGGATACCAGAGTCCAGGTGATCCTATTTCATCTAGTTCTTTATATTCCCTCCGTTCTTTTGCAGTACATGAAAAATTCCCATTTACACCATTAGAATAGAAAGACTGAGCAAACAATGCTTATACACATGAAACATAAGTCAACAAGTATGGTCATATGTCTTTCCACCTAAATTCGGTGATGGTACCAGTTCTTCCATCTATGGATACAATTTTTTAAAAAGGATTCCCATCTTCATCTTACTCGTCATGCGACGAAAATTGGAAAAAGTTGGGTCGGAAGGTAATAATTCAAACTGTAGGACATCAAGATCAACAAGAGAATTATCTGGTCCATACATGAACCTTATTTCGTCTACGATGTTTATTATTAAATCTTCGTGGAATTTCATTTTGCCCAGGTATTTTTTGTTTATCAGGAAGACACCAAACTTATTAAGTTAAATTCTTTTAGATAAGGGAAATAGAGCTACTCTACTAGCCCTTTTCCCAAACCAACTGAACAGAATATTTTTAAATTTAATATGCGATACTGTAAGGACCTCCGAAAACATTCACAAATAACAACTGTTGATACATGCCTACATTTCATTCTATGTTGAGATATCTGTGCTATAAATCTACATTACATAGATCTATCTGCGGTACATTTCAGATTAAATATAAATAAATCACTTAACAAAAGACAAAACATTCAAGCTTACATAAACTCCAAGCGTAAAGGTTGACAGTCTAAGGAATACGAAGTTTTGAAACCAACAATGCTAAAATGATCCCAGTCTAAATAATCTGAAGTGTTCAAATTTTCACTGCCAAAAATAGCAATTGACTTTTGGCCTGAAAGAACCTGGATACAGTGTATACTGCCTCGTTCACCTCCATACTTTATATTGCTAGGTAAATCACCATCAGATCTGAATTGCGACGATTCACTTTACATGTTTGTTCAGCCCAATGACATAACGAAGCAAATTGTAAGGCTCTTGAATAACACGCGAAAGCTGATGCCCATATAAGTCTACACAACTTATCTTTATTGTCCGATTTTTCACATCCCGATGTTACACATTTTAAGTGATGATTTATCAACCATGATCCTCGTTCTTTCAGATCCCATGCTCTATATAACCAATGAACAGCCAAATCGGGATTCCAGTCTGCTGTAGAATTTCTTCTGGGATCTGATTCAGACTTTGCAGTGTCCAAACTTGCATACTGCCCACAAACTGGTGGGGTGAGTATATAGTCAACACGTAAAAATAAACTAAAATCCTAGGCAGATAAGTAAGAAAATGAAAGGCATCTTTTAAAATATATGCAGACCTACTAACTTTATTGAATGCTGACTACAAAACAGTTGATAAATTAGATATACGTAAGAGTAGTAATATCCTTTCAATCACGCACATTTCTGTGTTTTAGGTTACGAGCCATACTTCGTGTGCGAAGGCTCCTAAAACTATTACCTTACTGAAACTGATGTAGGTGGAGTAGGGTTCGAACAACCAGTCAGCAAAAAACATGTGACCTGACATTACCGCGCAACGGTAAAAGTTGCTACACCCTATATCAACACACCAAGGTAAAAAGGAACCAATATGAAGGTCACGAAACAAGAAGAAAGTAGTCAATAGTGTTTAGAAGTTGTGAGAAGAAAACAAGAACGAATGTAAAATTATGAAATTCGGCACGATATTTAAGATGAAGATAGGAGGAGGCATTTGCGCTGGTGAGGACGATTTCCAGCCTCATCGTCTAGAGTCTCCAACCGCCGATTTTAGTTGTCACACGGACCACAACTGAGAAGTAAGTATTTTCCTACACAGCTAAGACAAAAGCCAAAGGACTTCACTAATCGACACTATGATTTAGTTCGACCACCTTTGACCTAAACCTACTTCAGGTGACATTGCACAATAGGACACATGGTGACTAAGTATACGTATCAGCCAACTGAGTCCATGATTGTTCACAACTGCATCTATTAACCTACCTCTTCTGCTTAGAAATATACACCTAACTTGTGGTACTGATATGGTGGTACCAAGAAATATGGCTTAAGATACAAAAGCACTGATCATGTCCTCAGCAGAGACTCATTGCTTGGAAGTCGAGTTCCTAAGCCACCGAGCGACACCTTCACTGATATGTTAAATAACCCAGTGTATCACCTCGCATTCGCATTATTTTTTTCTTACCTACGTCAGCACGTGGTGAAATGGTCTGAAAGTGGTAGTTCGCATACCCTATTGTTTACATGTAGCTGATAAGTAAACACTTACACAAGCTTATCAGACATTTGATGAATAGATAATATGCTAGTAAGACAGTTGTTGTTACTCTTTACATCATAAATATATTTATAAAGAATATTTATATATGAAAAAGGCTAATTTCAGCGCAATAACCTACTAGAGGTTCATTTTTGTCATTGTTGATAACAATCAGTGATGGGATTATACCCTACCATAGTGCACAAGTTTTACCCTTATAGATTTGATGACCGTCTATTACACCACAACTGCTACATATGCAAGAGAGCTAGATTTCCGTATCATAGTAGTAATGCCCAGAATGCCTGCTGATTAAGATTATGATCAACCACATATGTAGGTACGTAAGTAGTAAAGCCAAGAGCAACTACCATCAAAAAGTGAATAACTGCACTAAGACAGTGATATTTGAACGAAAGTATACCACATAGCGTAAAAGAACATCAGTATTAAGATGCCTATCATAGATAGAGGGTTGGAAAAGGTATTACCGAAACACGATAAATTTCTCCAACTATAAAAAGGGATAAAACTAATAATCAAACCAATAAACACCGACGAGGGCGTAAATGACACCACTAAACTAATTTTGCTTTAGATTTTTAAGTAGAACGTCAGCTTTTATGGACTGGGTTCTCAGGAAGTATTATCTTTCCCTTTACTTTGTAGAGATTTGATGGCTAGTTCTTGCGGTCTTGCAAATGTAGGCACAGGATTGAGTCCTAAGGCAGAAAGTGCACTGGTCAACTGCATCCAATTTAGAAGTCACATTTGCGCTTTGCGACTAAACGATGCACTAAGGACTAAAATAGTGAAACTCACTCTTGCCTGTTTGTAATCTCTGCGTACGCATCCACTGACTGCAGTTTGGATGAGTTCTACCGATAATTGTTTAATCTATTAGTGAAAGTCCAACGTCCAGACGCGGTTGTTGTAGCCCAAGTGAGTGGAATAATTCAGATGAAAAGTCACTTATGACGACTAACTTCTTTACACCCCAACAACACGGATATGGAAAAGGGTACTCTTGCATTAATAACTTGCTCAATGAGGGAGATAGGTGAACCAGTATTGTCGACCATTGAGGTAGGATTGATATTATTTAACAAGACTTTTCTACAGCGTTTAGTTAACCACAGCTGCCTTATTGATAAACTAAAGTTATTCGGGACCAACCCACGGCTCACTGACTGATTGTTCTCATAAGTACGTGGTCGTTTATTTACAGTTATCACAGGTTCAGTACCAGAGCATCTTTTTCTAGTGTGTATCAATGAGTTGCCTCGGCAGGCCTCTTATGAAATGTTTCTTCTCTCCGATGAAGTGAAATCAGGTGTCAGAAAGATATTGCTTCCGTACCAGAAGAATTAGTCCGACTTCAAAACTGAGCAGTCAACAATGGAATTGCATGCAACCCGGAAAAACACAAGGTTGTACGTCTAAGACACGACGTATGTTATGTATATGGTCTCAATGACATTGAATTACAAGCGCCACAGCTGGAAACAAACGAAATAAACGCAGAACCTGACACACAAGCCCATCGGTCCAAGTTGCCACAAATCGCAGTAGCATGCGAAGAAAAAATGCAGAATTCGGGTGTTTTAGTCCCTCAAGACCTAAATTCTTTTATCCACTGCGATACACACACATTTCGTGGGAACTTAACGTTAGAAACTCTCGGTCGAATTCTCGGACAATTTAATCGTATAAATTTCCACTAGATTTTTAACAGCTTCATAAGGTTTAAACTGGTGTTTGGGACTATAGTCTTCCGCCCTTCCGCGCAGAAAGACGAATTAAGCCTAAAATGCATGCGGAGGTCGACCAAATCATTTCGAATTAGACTTAAATCATACGAAGAACGACTAGTACCGCTTGACCTACACCCTTTGGAATATAAAACGAAAGACTCGAAATGCATTTAGAAAAATCGTGCACATTCGGAGTACGCTGTGTGATGGCTAGTGATAATATCTTGAAACCTGAACCTTGGTAGGTGGTGTTCGAATCCGTCGTCCACTGGTCGAGAGTTAACAGCCTAGACCAGTCAGCTACAGCTCCGCTATATAGAAGACTAAGAAGAGATATGATAGTGGCTTACAATATTCTAAGCAACCCTGTATACCTAATTCGTCACTTATAAACTTTAGCTGTAACACCAATCTTATAGAACACACATATTAGATATCAGGAGCAACTCCGACTCTAGGAGTCGTGAAATCTTGGAAGGCTCTTCCTGCAGAAATGGTCCAAACTACTTTGTCTGAATACCAAAACGCCAACCTGACGCCTACTAAGGATGTGGGCGGGAGTTTAACCACGACCAACTTGTTTTTCCTATTTTAACAGCTATTTTACCCTTGGTTTTTTGCAGATAGATTAGCCAAAGGAACTCGTGGTCCACAGCTTATAGACATGGGAGATAATTTAAGTGAAACTTTTTATCCCGAAACCTGCCATTTGAACCTTGTCAGAAGGAAAGAAAAACCAGTCAAAGGAAGCGGAAGCAGAAAGTAGACAGAGAGAGGAGGGATATGTGAGGTGTTCAACCCACTCAACCACTTCACTCTGAATTGTTAGCCGGGATACCGTTGAAGACTAGTCCTGGAATAGCAATTTGTATTTGGGTTACGAGAAACGCATCCCAAACATTCTCAAATCTGCACCCCATATCCAGAAGACTCTGTACACTGTCAGCATCTTCACCTAACAAGACAATATCATCTGCATATTCTAGGTCCACCAAGAACTCCCCTGTTACAAGACCAATCCCTGTGATATCAGATGACGACGGGAAGACCATCATAAGAAAATGCATGACAAGACTGAACAAGAATGGAGAAAGTGAGCATCCTCGACGGACACCAGTCGACGTTTATAGCCCACCTGATAACTCACCATAGGCTATAACCCAATCACGGTTTTCGAGTAAAGAGCCTTTAGCAGAATGATATATGTACCCTTTTCAAAGACAGACATGTCATAAGAGCTCTAGATCAACAGAGTCAGACACCACCTTCACGTCGAGAAATACAGTAAGTTTTGTGCGTTGGAAAGTGTGTCTATGTTCCGGTACCCAGTGCGTGTGAATATCTGATTGATACACACTCACGACTAGATCTAAAACCTATCTGGTTTTCTTGTTCCCGAGTTCCACCTAGACGTCTAATGATTATAAAATCTGGAATCTTAAACTTCATGTTCATCAAACTGACTTCTCTGTGGTTATAACAGGACTTCTCACCTTTCTTGAAGACTGGAAGGGTGAGCTATTGAGACTAGTCAGAAAGGACCGTATTTGACTCCCGTACACTAGTTAACACTTCACTTTACTAAAAAGCGTTGACTATCGTCATTAAATACCTCTAGAGATGGTGCGCTAGTTCTGCTGCCCTTGACTGACTAACAAAATCAACGTAGGAGGTCGAACACAGGTGCATCAGTTCGAGTTCCCAGAGTTTACGGTGGTAAACAAAGAACAGATGGACAGATATAGAGTGACATCAAAGTAGTTAAACTACTACGCGAGGACAAACAATTTGAAGATAAAGGTTAGTGCGAAGATTCAAGCTTTAGATGTCTAAGAGTGAATACATCTGCATCAATGTAACCGACTTTCAGCTACTTCACTAAGAGTCGCCAATCAATGCTTCCTATTGTCTCAAGGACCCAAACACGGCATTCCCCATCTCCGCACACGATTCAGATCAACAGTAAGAGACTTCATTGGCTGGTGCCAGGTCTTGGTCTAGCCATCCTGAACCCTCTTTCAAACGCAGTCCAGTATACTGGTCCTCTGATAGATGGTCAGATATCTCGCAATTCACCGCCACAGGTGACTTAAGTTGGCAAGTGCCAAGCGGGCCTTCTGTATTCCAGCCGAAATTTCGTCAGCAACCAGCCCTTTCGGCGGGCTTATGCACCACCTCAAGTAAGTCAAGTGGTCGACACATTCCTTATCACAATACTGGGAGCACTTTTAGCAGACCAGTCCTTGAGCATCATCTTACATTGGACAAGTGACAGCAGAACGCATGCCAAATGAACTAAGATTTCGGCTTAACCTGTTCACAAGACCTTGTATTTTGTCACTCAGTGCCCGTTAGTACGTCTCTAACGAAGCTAAATAGGAACGGTGACATCGGGCATCCCCAGTAAATACCCCGCTAGCTGTCTTCAATTCACGTGACAATTATCCATAAACCCTTACACGGCTGTGTGACTTCGAGTAGAGAGCTTTGATTAGCGCTATACACTGGTTCAGTACTCTCTTCAGTCAGACACTGTCAAAACACCCATCGAGCGACAGAGTTAGACGTCCCTTTCAGGCCAAGAAACACATCCAACACCGGTCACCGGCAAATATGTCTGTGATCTAGAACCTGTGGAGGAGTGAAAATCTGGTCGATGCATCCTCAGCCATGTGTGAAACCTAACTGGCTCCCTCGAGGTTCGGTCTCGAGCTACAGTCAGGCTTCGGATAACAATGGACTTCAGGATCTTGGACACAATATCAGTCAAAATGATTATCCTATGGTTGTCACAAGACTTCCCTTTTATGGACTAGAATGACCACTGAAGTAGACCAGTCTGATAGGACTACCTCTGGTTCCCATGCGATACTACCTAGTACCTCCGTTACTTTACTCAGTCACTTCCCACCTCCATCCCAAAAACCTTCGCGTGGCAGACCCGCAGGTTCTGCTGATCTGCATCCTTTCCGGTTCGAAACGGCCTTCTTCAATTTGAGGAGTTGAACGACTAACATGTACATCCCATTAAGGTTCGGGTTGGGTGCTGCGGAAACATAAGCATGGTTGTAGACAAAACTTGAACTGTTCATTTTAGTCACCTGTCCTAAAAGGCCGTCACGGGCTCATCCTTTTCGGTGATGGTCTCACTGACCATCGTCTTTCTCTTGTCAAATTCCTTAATAGGCCTGTATGCCGAGTATTACCTAGTGCTGATGCCTTCTCCATCTCCATCGCTTTTAACACATACCACTGGTAACAATCATTGTGAAGACTGGGTCTAGGCCACTTCTGTTCTTCAACGGAATGAGTCCCCTCGTACCAATCACTTCTCAAGGGGTTGTGGAATCATGCCACTCTAGGTTTCCTCTGGATGAGCATTGCTGTCACGTTCAGATAAGTGCTTAGCTATCTCTTCCCTAAATACCTACCTGTTGTTCTCATTTTCCAATCCAGTACACATGCTTAACTGTCAACTGTTTCCTGTTAACAGTAAGGTGCAGATATACACGTTGTCGTACTAACTTGTGATTGGAGTTGAAACAGAAAGAGCGACAGGCGTCCACTGACCTTCCCAACGACGACATATAGCTATGTCGTCTATGAGGGTCGTCGTTGGTTTGATGTCGGTCGACGCCATGTGAAACAGTATCTCTCCTTATGCTTGAAGTTAATGCTGGTCAGAAACTAATGGTTGCTAAAACTAAACTGGAACAGACCAATACTGTTGTCCTTTGACTGGCACGAGATTACGTTGATACCTTCCAGATGCTTTTCCGAGCGGATCAACTTTCCTACTTCAGCTCCAAAGTAGCCTGGCATTATGACCATATTTGAAAGTTTTGTTTTCTGTAGCGAAATTGACAGCTTCTGACAGGATCCATTATTTGCATCATCCGAACTGTAGTCAGTGAGCGCGTAAGTGGGTTTACGAATAGGCATTGACTATTCTCACGACCCCTACCCCACTCCAGTTCTTACGAATTCATTCAGTCGAAGAGCACGTACACGGATGTTGACTGGTATCCTGTCGAGAAGCCCACTTTAAGTACTACAACTCAGTGCTATGCCTACACTAGTGAGTCCACGAGAGTTAGCCATTGGGTCTCCGCATACTTGTAAGGTGAATTTCGAGGATCTACTGCACTGGTTAGGTGAGGTCAATTTAATAACCACACTCTAATCCTGTTTACGTGTTTCTGAGGTACAGCACACATCCATGTCTAAAGATTCCAGAATTCTGCTTAGCGATGCTTGCTGTCCGATTTGGCATAGAGTTCTGACGCTGAAAGATCCTACATGAAATTGATCACGTCTTAGGAGACTTGAAATGAAGTTTCGATGGCTTTAATCGTTGGCAACAAATGCACAGTGAAAGGGTCGATAAGGCGTAAGAGACCTAATATAAGGATTAAGACGTGAGGACAAAGACCAGATTGAGGTGGATAGGTTGTTTGGTTAGATCTACACTAATAGTAGCGCAAGGGTGATTGAGAATTCCCGCTGCCAAAGCCTTGTAATTTGTTTCTGGAGGGTAGCTGAAAGAGAGGAAGATCCATGACCACACAGCCCATGGGACATCTGCTTGAGGCTTGTCACACACTAGCTTTTTAGGATTCTTTGTATGTGATTTGACTGTTCTAACTCCGGATAGAAAAGCACACCGCCCATGTTCTTTTCTGGATCAGCCTTTTATAACTACTCCCCTTCCCAAAGGGAATAAAGTATCTGCATGGTACTGCTAGTCACAGGCGGGAAACACCTTCCTGACTATATGCCCCATCCGACCAACAGTACTACTTCCCACTCTGACCCGAACCATAGGGTAGTAACTTACACAATAATGCTAGCTGATTTTCGTCTTAAAGTATCCAATAAACCTTTCTGACAGTAAAACCTCGACGGAACAAGCGTGTCACCACCACAGCTCGTTGAGTCATCGTGAAATACAAGCCCGACCAACGCTACACGGCTAGACCTATCGATCAGGGCTAACATGAAGGTGAAACTTAAATTAAAAATGCTTAAATACCTTTCTTAATTAACAGGTATATAAAAAGAGGTATACGTTCACTAATATATTACGACAAAAAAGAGACAAAATGGCTCACTGAGCGATCTGTATGTTCATCTCGACCAGAAGAGTATCCAAATTCGACATTGTACACGTCTCCACTCCTGGAACCATGAAGCGTATGTTCCATTATATGTCTGAATGAAAGTTGACCTAGTGTTTGCATATGTTCACATTCTAGGATATCAGGAGCGTTACCCAGCAGTATACGGATATGTGAGTTAGTATTCAGCAAAGGTGATTTACAAACGACATTATCATTCAGCATACAAACTGAACAGTATTCTAGTAGCAAAGATGCGGATTTCGGATTTAATTCCACCACTGTACAAAAGCATAGTGATCCATCCCCAGCCTTGCCAGATAACTCACTCCCTGTCACTTCTCGTTTGAGACTTTTGATGAAGTACATCTTGGGCTGAGGAACTACCATGCCTAAAAGGAACAAATCTAGCAAATACTTTGACAGACTTGTAACAAAGGGAAAACAACTAAGGAATATACAATATATTCTGAAGTGATACTATCTGGACATTGTACAAAGTCATAATATATATAACAGATTTATCAGTCTGCTACCATGTTGTGTTTTTTGCTCCATGAACACAGTCATAAGTGAGTATCCAAGATACCATAAAACACGCAAACGCAGTCATTAGACCTTCTTTAACGATTTCACCATACCCGCCATATTCATCCTCATCAACACGTTGATACATTGCGGCATAAACATACACAAAGCATATATTTGTTGCAAAAAACATAAGAATTGCCACGAAACCTGTAAAAGGAGCTAGCCCCCAAATAACGCCGATAATAATGGCAAAGATTTGCCGAAACCAATAAACAACATCCAAGAAATCATTTTTGTCATCAAATACAGACTCCATCTTCAGAGCCTTGAGGAAAACAGCATAGTTACTTACAACTTGACATCTTGGATTAGCCTAAAATCAATTAATAATAGATCTAACTCCTGCCCCACCTTCGCAACCATTGTTTGACGACTTCACTCCAACAACCGAATGTACGTACGTTTTTGTCCAACCGTAAGTATGTTGTGGAAGGGAGTCGAGCGGGAGAATGTACGTAAATCCAACGGTGGTAGTCCACTTAGAAAATACGAGAAACTGGAAGGGGAAAAAACAAACAAGTCAGCGGAGAGCTAAACAAGCACGGAGAATTTACTAAGGTTTATTACTGCAAGATAATCGTAGTCAATTGAAAACGAAAAGGTAATCAGGAGACCAAAAGTGGATGAGAAAGATTTTAAATAAGTGCAACAATCACAAGAAAACCTTGACTTGAATACGCCGCTTAAAAGTGACGTTCACCGGTGTCCTACATTCAACGCGAATAGTAGCAGTAGAGACAACTTGGTGTTTCTGAGCTCTCGCTTCCAGGCCTTTAGGCTTGGCTTCTTTTTAATTTGCCATTTTCCACCATTCGTCTCAGTAATACTTACAGTTTACTTGCTTGCAGTTTCGAGGTGGTGATTGCCTATTTGAAGGTTATCTTTCGCAAGTTATAGGTTGATGTGTTTGGAGCAGCAAAAAATCTTCTGATAGAGTTGATTGTTTTTTTTGAGTTTCCTGTTTTTATAGGCAGCTTTAGGTTTTATCTAGGAAGCAGTGAGAGAAATGAGGGATGTACCGAATGAGAAAACAGGGTAGAAAATAGAAAAATAATTATTACTTCATACTGGTTCAAATGGTTGTTGAGGGACTGGAAGAAGCTTTCAGTTAACTGAGTCCAGCGTCAAAATCCATGGACCACTACTTCTTGCGATTGTTAACACGTATACAAGTAAGGAAACAGGAAAATGCGGCGGTTAAAATATCAAAATTCAATTAGTTGTGGGCAGGTCCCAACCACATGTCAATTAAGTATTCAGTCAGCGTTTAAAGGATTCAGACGAAGTAGCTTGGATCACATCTGCAGACGGGGCGCTCCGGGGTTTAGCGACTTTTAGAGAGTAGAAGTTGTGCCTGATATCTAACCCGCTATGTTCCAGGCTTAGTTTCCATACGTGTCCTCTAAGATTAGTGCTACGGTCAAGATTTAATGGGTGATGAAGTGGGTGACCAGGCGTGCTCAGAAGCTTTTGGGTCATTATCGAGTCTCCTCTTAGCCTTCTGTATTCCATACGATACACATCCAGCTCAACCTTTCGCTGTTCGTATGTTTCAGACCAATCCCCGAACAGATTTTGTCGAGCGCCTCTGGACAAGTTCTAAGCTTAGTTTGTCCTTCTGGAGCAAAAGAGGGAAGACGATGGTGCTCAACTCTAGGTGAGGCCGTATGAGGCTGTTGAAAATTTGGTGGAAGCACCCAAGGTGGTATTGTCCGAAAATTTGAGCAAGAGTTACTATCACGAGGTCTCCACGAAGTGCGCTTCTGTCACAGTTGGCATAGAATTTCAAGTCCTGAGTGACTAAGACCCCGAAGTCCTTCTCTGTCAGTGACATTTCAAGTTCCATATCGTTGAGGCTATGTACGTGAGATTCACCGTGTTTCATGTGTATCATCTTGCATTTCACGGATTAAATGCAATACCCGTTACTGACTGCCCAGTTGTGAAATTAAGTCTTCCTTTAGGGAAACACTTCTTCACTTTTGACTTTTCACCAGAGTTTCACGCCCCATGCAAACAAAAGGATTTCTGAAGAAACCTGTGAGGCAAGTCGTTTATCTATGCTGGAAAAAGAAGAGGCCTTAGTACCAAACCTTGGGGAACACCACTAGGACATTCTGTTTCTTCAGACGTAGAGCAACTCACTGGGACCCTAAATGAAAGGCCTTGTAGAAATTAGGGCAAGCGGGGGTCTAAGCCCAAGTAATTTCAATTTACCAATAATGCAGTCATGATTAACACGATCAAACGCCTTAGTAAAGTCCAGGTACACAACGTCAGTTTGTCCTCGAAGGTCAACGGTGCTAGTCCATCTACTGGAGTGAGCAAAAGGTAGTACATGAGTACCCTTTTCGAAATCCGTGTTATCGGGGGGGGGGGGCAAAGAAGTTGATCTGTGTGAGGTAATCCCTCAGTCCATAGCATGTTAATGATTCCAGTATTTTGGAATAGATGGATGGAAGTGTCACCTGTCTGTATTTCTTTGGATTGCTTCTGTGGATTGATATGAAGATTGGCGTCACGGGACCCATCATCCAAGAGTTGGGCACTGTCCCCTGACTTAGAAAATTCCTAAATAACTTACTTAAAAGTTCGGACAAGATTGAGGCTCCCTCTCGCAGCACCGCCAAGAGAATTTTGTGTGGCCTCGGAGGGGTGCCTCTGGTGCGCAGTAGCAGTTTGCACTGTACTAGCTCAACGCTCAGGTCGATGACCGAGAGTTATACTTTGTTAGCGGGATATTCGTAAGCCCCTGAGCAGGTGGGCGACGACAAAAGATTTGCAGATACTGGTCGGCAAGGAGCATAGCTGCTTCAGTGGCCCTATTAGTCGGTGCATTTGCGCCTGGTAGTTGAGAGACTGCCACTTTAGCCTGCCAGAACGAGGCAACATAACGGAATAGACTTCTCCGGTTAGAAACAAACATGCTTGTGGCCTAACCTGATGCCGCTGCCGATCAGCTCTCAGTGCCTTCATAGATATGTTTCTTGCCTGTTTCAACTGTCCGTGGGTACATTCGGTGCCAATCGTTTTGTATTAAGCTCAGTGGTGTATTTTTAACCTAAGTAGTTTGCGAGCGTAGTTCCTTATTAACTAAGGTAACTTGAAGCACGCCGGTCTTGGCAGTGGAACAGACTGACTGACTACATGCACGGTCTTGTCAAGTATGAATCCCCAACGGGTTTTCATATCCTGCCATACACAGTTAACTTATCAGTCTGTCCCGGTGTGATAAGAAGACTCGGAGCGTTAAGTTATTTGAAGTTCCGATGACGTTCATTGAAAGGTCTGGTTACATTGGTTTTGCAGACAAACTGGAAGCCGGTAACAGCGTGGCCACTCCCGCTAAAAATAGGAGGGATCGCCAATTTTTCAAGCAATAATTCTTCATTTGTGAAGACAAAGTCTGAGTGAAATGGGGTTTGAGTCTCCTTCTATCGCATTACCGTTGCCACATTTTCTGTAGGCCCCGGTTACCCAGCCAGACGGCAGAATGAGGCTTCTGTGGAATCGTCACCCCGGCTAAAAGTGTGGTCCGTAAAGGTAACCTTCGAAAGGTTAAAGTCGCCTAAAGTTGGTACGTGTATGTGCCTCAGTTTAGGAGAGTAACTGATTGCACCTATCACCTGATCGTCATACCGTAAGTCAGCAGGTGGCCTCCAATAAGTCACTCTCACTAAGCACCTTACAGCCCTCAACGGCTTCATGATGCATCAGGCGGACATTTGGAGGCACTTCAATTCTTGGATGTGTACTTGGAGAGCCGAGAGAGAAGAGCTGACGTAAAGTACCACCACCCTGCCAGCCTTCCCTGCTTTGCGAAACAGCGTGGTATTAGCGATTCTCAGCTACCGATTTTACATGTCACGAGAGACCCTCGTCTCAGTGACACCAATAAGGTGAACATAAGTGCCCTTACTTACTTCCAGCGGCTCATCTGTTTTAGTTGGTAAACTTTGTTCAGTTGTATAGATGCAATTTATGCTGTCTACTTGGAATGCACTGCGTGAAACCTACTTATTCTGCTGTTGGCTGGCTGAATCCTCGGGCGTGGGGGCTGGGGATGTGCCTACGTGCTGCCTACCAGTGCAGTGTTCCCCGCTCTTCCCCGTCTTTTGCATTTAAGCGGTCTCCTAGGAATACAACAAGCTCCAGTTTTTCTGTTTTCGTTGCAGCCTTTCCTTCTGCTACTTATCAGACCGCATGAGGATTCCAGATGGCAGACGATTTCCGTTCGCACAGGATGCCTCCAGTGTGGATGCTGCCACTTGAGAGTCCGGAAAGACCAATTTGATCTGCCTTAGTCTGGGGTCACCGTCTGTTTTGGGCACCTGTGAAACGCTTTGGGTGAATACTTCGACGAGGTTCATAGCATTCTTGAGGAAATTCCACTCGCGAGAATCATGGTGAATATCCTCGGTGACTGGATTTTCTGGTATGCCGTCCATTATTACGTTTCTTCCTCTAAAGCAGGTACCACGATTGCCACCTAAGAGACTCTTTAGAGGCAGTCTCTCAGAGTGTGTGATACTTGACAGTATCCTTACTTCCTCTTCAGCTTTTAGCACGTAAGGCGCTAAGAGCTTATCCTCGACAGCATCTGGGTTAGAGAATGCGAGCCTTGAGAAACGGGGCTGTTCCCCAATTATTGGATAGAGACCGTATGACAGCCCAATTGCAGCTAGTGGTTCTATGTGTTCCAGCTTGAGTTCTCTGCATGCGTCCCCCCACAAAACCCCACCAATCTTGTCCTGAACACCGTATGGGCTACCTGTTAGGTTCATGATAACCAAAGAATCATTCCGGACAGTGGCCTGTCCTATCAGCCGTTGACGCTTGGGGTTTTTGTTGAGCTTTAGTCTTTTCTCCAACTTTGCTGCAGTTGGTGGGCAACACATTTGCTTGCTCGACAAGCATGTGAGAGACTCGCATGGTCTGCTGTCCATTCCACTTCCTTGCAGACCCAGGTTTAGCCTTCCTTATTGTTAAACTACCCTGCTTGACCCTGCGCCATGCCTTTCCCACCTTCTCTGACCCAATGGGTTTGACTGGAGCTGAAATCCAACCATCCTTATTTCGAACAATGGATACCCGTTCTTCATCTTGAGCATCCTGGCTTGGTATGATCGTTTCGTTTTGCGCCTCATCTGCAAATGACAAAATCCTAGCGAAGGATTATTAGACAGTTGGTGTTATTGCACTGCTGAGGTGCATCATGTCTTAAGTCAACCCAGTCTTTCGCGCTTGTCGGGTGGCTTCAGCACTCGTTACACTAGTCGACTTTCGAACTCCAAAACCCTTA